TAAATAAAATGAATATAAACTCAGGGAACAACGTGGTGGGAATAGTATCCCTTTACCATAAGAAGTAAAAATAGTGACACAGTGTAACTGCCGAGTATCATAATAAACGTATGTACAGTGGACTCTAACTATATTGCCACTAAGCATATTGCCACGCGAGGCACTTCCCCCTCACACGTATTTTCGACCAAACAAATTCGAATTAGCTTTTGCGCAGGCGCTGAGGCTACGACGATAGAACTTAGCATGGAGGAGGCTCTGAACTCATTGCCATTTTACTCCATGGCAATATAGTGAAAGTCCACTGTACATTTAAATTGAAAATGTGCAGTCACTTGCAGATTCACACGGGCTACGTACATGCACGCCATGCAAACAGTATACATACACACACACACACCACTCCACGAGTGTAAATACGCAGCACAGGTGCACACACCATTATACACACACGTACATGAAGGAGACCCGACATCAATGCACCATACCTGTCTTACACTATTAAACGACTCTTATGAAGGAAGTACCTGGCTAATATAGCCTACGTCACTCTATTAAAGTAAAAAGGTAAGTCAACAAAAGGCAGGTATAAACGGAGATGTTGGATATCTCCGAACGGTACAACCATAGGCAGTACCGATAGGTAGATCTTTCGACAAGTAATGATTGTTTTTCGTGATTATTAATACGAACCGAGTATCTAAGATACTTGAGCGCTTGACAGCTTAGTATAGTAAGATGATACGGTATGTGATTCGAGTAGACAAGAAAAATATAGTATATAAATACTACACTGTATTAACCCTTTGCACTCCAAGCACTTTTTTGATGCTATCGACCAGCAACTCCGGGCACACTATTGTTGTGAAGCTTTCGTAAACAAAAAGTTTTGTTTCGAAAGAAAAAATTACAAGTGTTCATGAATTGGACATTGTTCATGGTATGGTACCACTGAAACCAAATTTCTATGTGTATTCTTGGTTCATTCAGACAAATCGCGGTAACCCTTCGTTTGACGTTTCCTATCCTTTTTCCTGTCTCTTAGAACATACAACGCAATCCGTCTTTGCAGATTTTCTCATTACGCTGTTTATAAGCTTTCCATATTAACCTGGTTTCAGAGTTGGAAATAGAAGCCCTTTGCACTTTCGTGAAGAAAATATTCTACGTTGACTAACAGTTTTATATATTTCAAGCGTGTCAGTGGAGTGTTATTTTTGTTATGTTTTACAGATTTATACAGAATTGATAACACACAACTTCCATTTCCCAAAAGAACAATTTCTATTATCACTTGAGATTTTTTTAAAAAGCAATACCTGGACGCATATTTGGCCTGTGTCCCCCTAGCGGAGCCAACGCAGTGCAAAGGGTTAATGTAGTGGACTCTTACTATATAGCCATGCGAGGAGGCACTTCCCCTTCTCCCAGTTTTTGCGCAGGCGCTGAGTCCAAGGTTATAACGATAGAACTTAGCATGGAGGGGGCTCTGAACTTTTGCCATTTTACTCCCCTACAGTCCCGACCATGGCAATATAGTTAGAGTCCACTGTATACTATACTACGGTAAATAGAAATTATACGTTATTACTATCCATAGTTAACTTTAGACTATCTACTCGGACCAAGCTTGATATTACAAGTTTCTGATGCTTCAATTCTTGGCTGTCAAGAGTATCAGTATCATTATATTTGGTTTAAACTTGGCCGTCCAAGACTATCTTCTTGTCCGCAAATTATAACAGACGCACAGACTTTCGGTTGTTATATTTCACAAGCTTATCTCTCTACTTAAAAGTGTATCTATGAATCTGCGGGTAAAGATGAAAAATAGAAGGCAAATTAGCCAAACGGTATAGTGAGGATAAGTACATAATGCCCGTGAGCGGTTAATTAATTTGAATACGTCTCTTGTGAAAATTACTACTGTTAAGTAGCGATGATAATAGTCAACAGTAACCACATTTCTATTCGAAAACTCTGCTACAAAAGGTTATTCTAAATAGAGTTCACTTATAGTCAATGATCGTGCTATTTAAGAGAACCTCGTATATGTGATATTTAATTTAACCGCGAGTTACACCGATCCTTTTTCTTACGAAGGATATTTCTCATACGTTATAGCGTTGAAATTATAATATATTTTAGAAATTTGTTTTTTATTTTTATTCTTTTTTCGTCATTAAATTTGTACGTGATATTTTTATTGCCATCGGCGGGTATTTCATACATATTTTTTACTTTGTTTATTATTACTATTATCGCTTTATTTTATGCGGTTGTTATGTATGACCGTATCGATCAAGACTCACTTTCATTTAATTCGTGTTATGTTAAAACCATGTCTTTCAGAACTTTTCAGTTGTTTTAGAAAGTTAAATACAATTAACTACCTTAATTAAAGAGTGTAAAAAAGTTTGTGGAACACTTACATATATGTACACAGTACCTATGTACATGATTCTTTTCAAATGTGCACACATGTATATATATGTGTGTGTATATATATATACTTCGTATAGTACAATATATAGATTACATTAATAATCTACAATATGCATATATAGATTATTAATGTGGAAGTTGGTCTACACAATTGGGTTGCACCATATTACTGTAGTACTTTGAGGTACAAAAAAATAATATAAGTTAATTACTACAAGTTCCTAATACTCATGTTACTAATATACAATACATCACAAAGAGCGACTACATCTCTTTTTTAAACAAGAGCCTCGTAGCTGCTATTCATTAATGTATGCAATTTCTCATTTTCTATAAAAAGGAAAGTATTACAATATTTTTGTGAGAAAGGATTAATTGAAAAGTTACTTTTTTTTTAAGATTGTTGAGAGTAAGAATATACTAGTGGAAAACTATGTTTACACATATTCAGAAATACAAGTTTCTCATTCAAAATTAAAACATCTTAATTAATGGTTTAGCCTATGGCCCAAAGTGTCTTAATATTTTTTTTATAGATAACGAGAAAGCACACTAAGTTACAGATAGTGCCTGATCCAGTTGCACAAGACGTCCTACAAATTAATATGTAAACTAAAGAATTTCGTATAAAAATTTGTTTTTAAATGTAGATATAAAATAATGTTGAGTAAACTTAATAGAAATATGCAATACCAAATTTTTTAACCGATTGTAGCAAAAATTTAAAGTATGATTTAAGACATAAAAGTTTTTGTTACGAGGCAAGGTCGAAGGAAGACAAGTACATAAAATCAATGAAGGAAGGCCCGAGAAAGCTAGTTCTTCACATCAGAGAAAACCTCTAGGTACGTCGGATTTTTAGACGAATATATTATGGAGCTGAAGTATACAGGGTGCGACAAAATTCGTGGTACCCTCACGAGCAAACTCGGCTTCCATTAGGGGAAAAAGTGGCGTAAGAAAAGGGCTTCCTATTACTTGGCAAAATTTATTTCATGTACTGAAATAAATCTTAAATCGAATGTTTATTTGGCATAGATTTTAGAAATTCTTAATACCAAGTTCTAGGAGGCCCTTGCCCTACGCCTCTTTTTTCCTTAGCGGAAGCCGAGTTTGCACGCCAGTGTACATACAGTGAAAAAGGGGTGATTCCTTATGCAACAAATAAATAAAAATTGTAGAATAAACTTTTATCATACGAAGCTTTGTTTTCGAGAAAAACAACTTGTAGAAGAGATAAGTAACGGAATCCAATGGACAGACGTGTTAGCCAAGTCTTATTCAATCGCGCGCGCAATCGAGCAAACTTTCGAATTCGATTGTTTCGGAAACGAAGCATCGAATAAATAAATTCTATTCAACACTTTCGACTTATTTGTGCATGAGAAATCACTATGTTCTTGATTGTAATACGAGTTTTACCGAACTTTGTATAAAACTTTGTATGTTATTTGGGAATGCTATTTTTTTATAGCTTTCAAGAGAGATCGTGTGCGCGCAACGGATTAGGCAAGACAGAAGTGTCAACAAAAAAGACGGAACCATACAAGAAGCTTTTGTTACAAACAATATTGTGATTCATATTTTTATAGTGTACACATAGATCGTTTCTATGTTGTTCATCATTCAGTAATCATTACTGATATAAATATAGTATGTTTTTTTATTAAAAGTTTTAAAATTATTTTTAAGATTTGTACACGTATATAGTCTTATAACTTAAGTTTTAATATTTACAAAAAGTTGATGACAAAATATTCTGCAAAATATATATAGTAAACGAGTAAAAACTTGTATGTTGACCTTGAAAAAGTTTCAGAAATATTAAACAAACAACTTTAGCATAATATTTTAGAAGTGCACTGGAAATATAAGCTTCTTGTATCGATACATACGCGTTTATATGCACCATATATGCTTTAAAAGTGCATTTAATCAAGTCTGATTTCATATAGATATGACTCGAATTTGGAAGATTAAATCGGAGATTAAATAACGTAAAAATATGCTTATACATAAAACTCTTTGGTTTCGTCGCGTGTTTTATGTACACATACATACACATAACTACCTTTGTTATGAGAAAATAAAAAATAAAATAAAATAATATACATCGCAAATAGAATACATTTCCGACAAATTATATAATTGACAGTAGTTATTTCATAACTAAACTTAGAATGTAATTTTCAAATATATTAATACTGTTTCGATTAAACTTAATGTGGTATTCTGAAACATGAAACTGTAACATTTATCATTCGTAAAAAATTAGAATGACACAGTACCCTTAACCTTACACACGATTCATAGTACACATGCTTCCAAAGTCTTTAATGTTTGTACGATGCATAAAACAAGAAATGTAACATAATTCATAACTTAATGAAACTTTTGTAATGTTCAAAATTGCATGCAATTCATAAATGTATCATCGCTAGTATGTTCACTGTGTAATGTGACATAACTTCTAGATAATTATATATTTTATTAAGCATGACTATATCATGCTACTATTAAAAAAGTGTTTTCTCTTTTCTGTTAAGTTCCTCAGTATTATTTAGTTTCTGCTAAAGAGTCAGGTCCATGTTTTTGGCACACCGTAACATCAATTTTTCACGTACAGCAGTATAAAATTCAATTTCTCAATAACACTGCCGTATCTCGTTAAGTGCCATTTTTTTAATTTAAATCAGAAACTACGTTATAACTTTTATCATTATATAAAGTTTTTCATTGCACTGTATCTGACTTTTTGTTCGTTAAATGATCCGTATACTACCTTCAACAGCAGTAAGTCCTAATTTCAACAGTATTAACATAAATTTGTATTCTTAGATATTCATTAACCGTTGTAACACACTACGTATTGATTGTATTTTTATAACTCGAAAGGTTCCAAGTGAGTATCGTATACCTAATTATTCAGATCATTGATCGCTTGTAAGATTCGTTTAACATGCCCTACTTTAGTAATACCAAGTTCCTTGAGATCTCGACGGGCTAGTGTTAACAATTCCCTACCTCGTATGTCGTGGGAAACGAATTTGTCAGTATATTCACCCAACTGAAGGTTCTCTAACCAAGAGCACACTTCCTGAACACCCCACGTAGTCACTTGATCTCGAGCAGGATGGGCCCCAGAATTACCCCCTGAACGCCGAAATTTCAACCAGAATAAACCTCTGTGACGATTCTTTTTATCTCCCTATTTAAATAAAATTTGAAATAAATCCACACGAGCTTACGAAAATTATGTTACATTGAAAGTCATACCTGTTCGTCCGATGGTAAACTTTGTAAATACACTAATCCTGTAGCTGCTTCATCGAATGTACACTTTTTCAATTCTTGTTCCATATTCGCCAAGGAGAAAGATAACTTATTCTCTAAATCTTCTCGCAGTCTCTGCATTATTTAGAATTTGAATTTTTTAGTACACTCATGAAATGTTAAAGCGCTAAAACATAGAATACTTACTAAATTGTGTGCTTTATCTCTAAGTAATTCACACGAGTCTTCGTAAAGTTGTCTTGCGCTTGAAACTAACTCTGTTACAACTGGTCTCAAATTAGTCTAACAAACATATTGTACAATTAATAAAAACTCGGTCGCGATTTAATAAAGTCAAAAATACAAAATGAAACGACAATGTAAAATCGAATACAAGAAAAGCAATTACTAACTCCATGTAAAATTTTTCCGCCTGGATGTACTTGTTCGAGTGCCTGAGCTGTCCGTGCTGCAACTTGATACAAATCTGGCTCCAAACTCGGATGCGATATTATGAGCAGTTTCACCCATTTGACTAAAGTTGTGACCACTTCAATGAATCCCAGCAAAATATACATTTCTTCGTCATTTAAATGTGATGGTTTACTGTGTATCGATAAATTAGATTTAGATTGTGATTGTGTACTGTTCAACGTGGATGTTGAATGGGATATTGCACTGAGTGTACTGCGCTGTTTTTCCTCCCACGTTTTTAAAGACGATTCAAGTGCCTGAAAAATATGTATTATTTAATCAATTATTAATTATAATAATGCATATTTCGATTATCGATGCATCTTGCCAACACAAGTTATTTGACTTACCCTATTTCTGTAAAGCATTTGCATACGATTCTTGTGTATAATACGTATAATTCCAGGTGGTTGTATCCAAGCTTCACCGTCAACTTGTATAGGCACTCCTTCGTCACCCAAAATGTTGATTTGAACCGTTTGACATTGTGCGATCCTATGATGTTGTAAATTAATCAGCCGCGACGCGGCCATTTGAACCGAACCAAATACAGCTACCACTTCTAATATGCGGTCATCGAACGAGGGCGCTAAAAACAGGTCTCCTTCTTTCGTTCCACCCCAAAAATTTGTGCCGCCCATGAAACTACAAGAAACACAGTATTCTTCAGTTGCAAAATTTTTCAAGATAGATACTTAACTTCCGTTTTTAAAGGTACATATTTAATTTTTCAAGACTTTCATTTTTAAAGATAGATATTTAACAACCTTGGAATGTTTAATACAACAATTCCTTGTAGAGAAGGCAATGGTATCCGTTGACCGTCACATTCCAATTGCACTCTTTGCTCAAGATTTTTGTATGTTTTCTGTAACCACTGTTTAGATCCCAATACACCGTACCACATGTAATTTTTTGCTCGTGAGCGACACTTCTCTGGATGTTCTTCTCTTTTATGATGAAAATCAAGACTAATTTTTGCATCTATGCCGATTCCAAAATAGTTATTCATGACGCAACGTTCGAAATAACCCTCCCTAGAAAAATTATATTAACTTAAGAATTTATTTTTTTTAACATAGCTGATTTAAGATCAGCAGAATACGTTTTTAGAGTTCAGTCATCACTTAAAAGAGGTGTGACTCTAACTATATTGCCACTAAACATATTGCCACGCGAAACACTTCCCCTTCACACGTAAATACTTTCGAGCAGACAAATTCGCTTTCCCACCAGGTTGCGTAGGCCGTCGCACCAGCACGATTCAGCTTTTGCGCAGACGGCAAGTTTGAGGTGATGACGACAGAACTTAGCATGGAGGGGGTTCTGAATTCATTTGCCATTTTACTCCCCTACAGCCCCGACCGTGGCAATATAGTTAGAATCCACTGTATTATACCACCGACAAGATATAAGAAATAGACCTTTCATCTTATGGAAGTTTGTGGCCCACCTAAACAGTAGTACCGACGCATTAAAAAACCTGTGATTTTGGCGATCCCTACGTTATGAGAATAATGAATCTGCGGTGGGTAGTGTCACTAAAATAGAAATGAGGCGACGTCGCCCCAGAAAAGTGGGCCGAAAAAATACAATGGATGAAATGTCTACTTCTAATACCTCGTCTGTGATTATACTTTACATTAAAGTTTCATCCGGATCCATTAATGGCGACACTGCAGCACAAAGTGCGTCTGCGTTTGCAAGTAATGCCTGACTAATGAGTCCTGTTCCTCCGCTGACGTCTGCAAACATATATATATATATATACATATATTTAATTTCATTTACAATATTTTCAATCTTCCGTTTAACCTTCATTCGTCCCTTGTGTCGATTTGACACATTTTTCTTCTAATAACGTTATCCTGTCATGTGTAGGTAAATTTAGCTGTGGATACATGACCTTTATTTGAAAAAATTTGCAAATTTAGCTATTTATCTCTTCGTTGTATTTTGTTACTCCTGTGTCAATTTAACACAGAGGGACATATTAAGTTGGGAAACTAAGGGACGGATGAGGGTTAATGTAAAAAAATTGACGTCGATATCTACAGTTGGGTTTTCAAAAAAGCAGCTTGTATCATACATATAAAGTGTAAAATACTTACTCGGCCACATAGACAATTGTACTAACGGATTAATAATTGGAAGTTTTTTCGCGTCTTCGGTTCGGTCGACAGACTTCATTCTTTCGTGACGTAAACTTGCATTCGAACCGCCAAGTCGTGCAGCTGTAGCAGCTAAAGAGACAACTTCCGATGCTTTTAATAAGCTGCCACTGCTAATTCGACGGGTTGCTTGAGGTGAGAAACCGGATTCTGGCAGCTCTACGCTCACTAATTATTAATGAAGTCAATAACTTTATATTATTTAGGTATGACAAGGAATTTTTACGTTAAAAAATAAGAGACGTACGTTTTTCCATACTTTCACCGTTATGTCGCCTTAGGTATGGGCTTGTTTTGTATCCCGTGTCGGAATCATGTTGACTTTCAATAGACATTGACGGACTCGGAGGATTAATTATAACGCTTATCGTGGGTGGAAAATTATTAGGTTTCTCATTCGTTGGAGTAGTGTCTGAAGAAACAGTAAAGCAACAAACGGGACTCAATAGATCAGACGCTTTGCCATCGTGACTGTCTTTCGATTTGATGCCCTCGGTTGCATTTTGATCGAATGACCCTAATTTATGTTTGCTTTTAATATTCTATTGGAAATTAGTAAATGAAACATTCATTAGGTTCGGATATATTTTACATAAAAATCACTTTATATCTTTGAAAGAATTCTATGTGAAGCATATCGAGCACCGTTAGGTATAATTACCTCTTTTTCTGCAACTGTGAAAGCCTTTGTTTGTTTCTTAAATGATCTCCTAGCAATATCGTTGCCTTCTTCGAATTGAGCTAAACTGCAATACTTTTGTGGTTTCTCCGTGTGCTCAGATTCCAAACATTCCCTTACAGAATCATATTTCTCCCCTATCATTGTACTGATTAAATCTTGCCCGAGTGAACTTAGATCATCAATTAAACTTTCAGAGTTTTGTACTTCACTGGTAAACATGTCCGAATTATCAGGGGAATCGATGTGCCCGATTTCAGAACTGTCGGATCTCTTTGTAGAATCGAATATATCACTACCTATACGAACTAGAATAAATAGGACAAGTTATCTATAAAATGTATAATATATAACTTCATCGTATTCTTACGAACTAAAAAAATATTACTTTGCCAGTTGCGTAACGAATTAATAGATTTTGTAAAATAAATGTTCCACTTATATACTTACCAATTTCACTCTCACTATTCCGTATTACGTAACTCTTTAAATCCAAGGTATCAGAGATTATGCTGTCCGTACTAACAATACTATTACTACAACTACCTCTAGTTGTATCCATTTTACTTCTGTTTTCAAATTTTTGATCGTGTTCCAGCGACACGTGTCTCGAATGAATCGAATCTGTATCGGGAGAGATAATAGTGTCTTGCATAGTAGCGTCATCCGAAGGCGAACTTGTATCAAAATTAGTTCTTGTAACGCTTATTTGAAAGTCCGACGAAAGTTCCATGTTGTTCGACTCGTGCTGATCATTAAACATATGAACATCTGATTCTTGCTGAGTATACGCAGATATAGACTGAGCTGTCAACTCGTGAAAATTAAATGAGCTGAAACACCATTAGTATATAAACATACCACAAGTTATACAAATAGTGCAGTGGACTCTAACTATATTGCCACGCGAGGCACTTCCCCTTCGCACGTACTTTCGAGCACACAAATTGGCTCTCCCACCAATGTTGCGTACTGTCGGTGAAAGAGCTTTCCCGGAACGGGACCCCCCGAATGATTTTGCAAAAAGGCACTTTTTGATTGACCGAAGGCCCATTAATGAAACCGCAGCCAGGGCCATGCGTATCTTACAGAAGTATATTTACTCTACATCTCAGGCCCCTGTCATCTTTTGCTCAGTAATATGTAATTTACGTATTAATAAAGAGTAACATATAGTTGTCAAAGATTAGGAAATATATAAACTTCTTCCGTGAATGTTGCAAGTTAAACATTCGTTTACAACGAATATGTATTTGCACGAATATAATAACAACTCTAGAATGGCAAATTAGTTTCTTTCAATCTTGAAAGGTAGATGACATGTAATACAATCGGAATTTCCGAAAGGAAAGTTCAAAATTAATTGTAACGGGTTGAAGACCGACAAGTCAAGACCTAGAGGAAATTTCGAGTTTTTATTAGATCACCATGTACCTTGGATAGTCCAGGTATCGTCATTCTCTACCTCCCTTCCCCCACCCCTCTCTCACTCTCGTTAATTGGTTACTTTGAATTTTTCGTAACAGCCAATCATTTGTATAACTTATTTTCAAAATTGTATGCTGTACCAAAATTTTGTTAAATATACCAAAAAGGAAGAAACAGTTCCGTGTTGACATCCTACGGCCCTGAACGAAGTTCGAGTACCATAAAAGTCTCACATTACAGGTTTTATGGCCAAACCTACTGCCTAATTGTAAAATGAGTCGGGGGTCCCGCTCTACGAAAGCTGTTTCACCGACAGTACGCGCTGAGCTGTGACGATAGAACTTAGCATGGAGGGGGCTTTGAATTCATTGCCATTTTACTCCCCTACAACCCTCCATTATGGCAAAACATATAGTTAAAAGTCCACTGGATATTAATTCAGTTCTATAAGTGACTGTAATAAACTCATCTTACTTTTTATTAATAATGTATCTACAACGTAAAAGTTAATCAATACCTACTCTTGAGGTAAATTTTCACTGTTTCTTCTACTGTCAGCAAAACCGTCCGGTGCCGGCAATGTCAATAACTCCTCGGGTTGAGAATCTCTTCTAAGATCAGGCATTGGACTCAAAGACGCCACGTTAGGAGTTGAAGTAAGAGTACACGTCGAATCTTCTGTACTCTTTAAAGATTCTATTAATGGACCTGTAGACGATATTTCAGAATGTTCCAGTTTTAAACCAGGAATATCCATTTGGTGCTTTTTACCTACGACACAGTCTTGTGGTTATGAATATTTTTTAAAAATTGAAGAATCTAGGAGAGAAGTAAAATGGAAGATTTATGTCGTAAACTTACTTGATACAGAATTTAACATTGCAGTATCGCCGGGCGAAACAGTTATATCTGCTGTTTTCGAAACATGCGTCGCGTGTATATTAATCTGATCGTCTATAGTCAACTGTGTATATTCTACAAGATGTCGTATAATTCTTTTTAAACTATTTGCTCTACAATTCAGTAAAATGAGTACAATTATTGATCTACAGATACTTGTATTTAAATTTCGATGCTGACAACATACCTTGACATTACAATCTCTCGTTCCATAAGACGTCGCCTTCGAAGAACCTTCTTTAAATTCGTCATGTCTTTTTCTGGCTTTTCTAATACACCTTTCTCATAAGTCTCGGGTGAAACAGATACATCGGTATTTAGAGCATAATTATCTGCACCCATTGGATGTTCGGCTAAGTATCCTTCCTCTTTACACAATGTTTGCAAGAACAAATCGAGCTTGTGTTGAAGTACTTTGCACTTCTCTTCTATCTGTTGGTCCTCTGAATCTATATTTTCTATTATATGTGATGCAAAATCTTTTACCGTGTCACATAAAATTCTGAAAATAAAGAGTTTTTATCATGGTAATTTGCATTGGACAATTTCTTGTGTTATATATCAATATTAATGTATAAATTACATTGTAGTTATAATTGAAATATGATTAGAATCACTTTCAAATATGGAATTGCAACTAAATAAATTGGAATAAGAATTCAAGAGGTCCCAACACAATAACTTAAGAATTTACTTTTCAATTATTGCTATTTTTATAATTCATTTGTACGCCATTACATTTTTTATAGAATACTTACTTAATGCTAGATAAAACTACATTGTCCTGATCTGATTGTAAAATGTTTGTTACGTGAGTAATAACATTGTTCTCGTATTGATGGACAATGTTGGATTTTAAGGATGTATCGGATCGACTTAAAGCCGTTTTATGACATGGCAAAGATATGCTACGTTCGAAAGTCATAATACTCCATCGGTCAAGCATCTTTGTGCCAGCTTTTTCATATTTTTCTAACAACTGGGGTAAATGAGTATCATCGTCGCAAGATGACCCCCAACCCAATACACGTGCCAGATCATTTCCTGTTCCCAAAGGCAGAACTCCGACTTGGCACTGCTTCTATTTCAAATTTTCAAGCGATAAATAATCTTGATAAAGGCATCACGACAGCATGCAATAAAAAACGACATATAATTACATAAACGTATTTCCTTTGAACCCCAACGTTCGTGTCGTTATCTATTATCGATATTATAATAATTAGACTGCGGATTTTATGCATTTATAACTTATAGGACTCTATAAAATACAATAACAGACAAAACTTTCTCAAATGCCTCGAGTTTTCTATTTTATTCTTAACTCAACAAGATACATAAGAGAAGAAAGAAGTTCCTACTATTGTTCTTGTTTTCATAAATTACTTTATAACATGCCATTTTGCATAAAATTCTACAGTCTAATAATAATATATTATTAGAAATAATTATAATTGTTATTCGAAAAAAAAATGGCGATAAACCACATAAACTTTAAGGAGTATTTCATATTGTAAAATATACAAACTTTTATTTATGATACAGCATACATTGCATATAAACAAACTAATCATCGAGTGCATCAAATCATGAAATCAAAGGAGATTGTTCCTTATAGAAAATGTACTAAGATGATATGTTATTTTATTACGAAAAATTCTATTTCTTTTATTTCCTGTCAAATATATTTCGTAAAAATTTATTGCTACTTGTATTATTACCACTTATGAATTGTTGAAAATATGTTATAAAGTAGATAATAGATATAAAAATATGATCTTTTTTTATGTAAAAAGAATAATTGTAGAAATCTCAGAACACATAAAGAGATCATATTCTACAATTTAATTCTTATTCTCTTATTGTAGAGATCCTTTTACATAATAAAATATAAGTCTGAATTATTCAAACACTTTACTGTGTATATTAACTATTTAAGTAATAATTTTTGTAGTATAGATTTGTTTAGAACGATTCGTGTCAATAATTGTCTCGATCATAAATATGTTACTGTACTATTTGTCATTGTAAAAGCATAAAATAGTGATATAATATTTAAACAACAAATAGTCACATTCAAGAATTTTTATAAAATTCGTGCGTAATTTACACTTACCATCTACAAATAAAGTTAATGAAGCTTCACGCATACAAAGAATCCTAATGTACAAACACCAGTATCATCTGAAATAAAATTATAAAAGAGACACGCCATGCTGTTTAAATTATCAAAGCTGTCGATGGTCATTTACTTAACGCTTCTGTGAAATGTAAACATGTACATTATATAAGAAAATCTAAATAAAGTTTTTCTGTACAAAGAGAAAACAGGGAATTTATTGTGCTCGTACAGAGAATAATATGTCCTTTATTCATGTTAAATTTCCACCATCAGATAATGAATAATGAATTATTTTTTAAAGACAAAAACATTACACATTAAAGTAAGGCATTTAACATATTAGATTTGAATCAAAAATAATTAATTTCACAAAAGGGCTAACTAATTTTATTCTGAGTATTCAGGTATATACTATGGCAAAATATCAAGACATTCTAAACAATGATAACAATGTGCAACCATGCAACTAATAGAAAAATGTATGTCACTTTGGTTGTACTTCGCCTTAATTATATTCTTCCGAATTTATAGTCGTGTGATTTTCAAATATGTTTATAGTTGTAGTCACTAATCGTGCGTTTGTGTGCATATAAACGAGGTTCGATACTAATAATTCTACGGAACATTACAGCTTTTGCAAAATATAATTGTATATTCAACGTGTATATATGTATATACATAATAAAAATCCAAATGCATGCAATTAACTAATATATCCAGAACAAAATTATTTGTCAAATTCACTACTTTTACTTACATGCATCCCCAAACGATCAATCTCAGAAAGAACCCAACCAACGGATCCATCGCCACTGCACACCAAAATTCGAAATGGGTCGAAATGACGAAATAATCTCAACCTATTCAAAATAAATGATCGTGTTCGCGTTAAAGAATTGAGATGCATTGAAAATTTCAATACAAATTCATATAAAATATTTCACCCTGGTCCTGGTCCTCCTTTTATAAGATCGAATACTTGTGCAGGATTTAATAATTGTTTAAATCTTCTAAGAAATTTAACACCTTGATTGTCTCCAGATTTACTATTTACAAATACTAAAAGTGGACTGCATCCGATAGGTCTAATAGCTTCCCAAGCTTCGTCACTACCTGTTGAATGTACTAAAATCAACGATAGTATCGTAAAGTCAATGTAGAAACACTGTATTTTATTTAATATAATAGAACTTCATTTTTCAAATTCCATTTAACCGAATGAAATTTCCATTTGCACGATCAACTGAAGGACAACTAAACTTTTATTACAAGAGTTACTGTCAAATTGTATTTTTTTAATATAAACACAGCGATTCTCAATGTCCAAAGTATACAGGACGGATATCGTAACGATATCCACGATATTCCACTGCTATGAACTTAGTATTGTGTGAATGAAAGTATCATAGTTTGTACTGGTCATATTCGTCTTAATATCTCCAATGGAAAAAAATTATATCCTTCCATTTAGAAAATAACTTTGGGTTCACTATGAAGAAAATATATTTTCGAAATGGTTGTTATCGTTATATGTTGTTCACTCAACGTAGATAAATTTTGGTTAATAACTCTTTTTAATCGTGCGGATCGTTAAAGTGAATGCTCTGTGTATCATTTAACTACAAACACCCAATATCACTGGAATTAGGTCAACTCTTATTACATAAATGTTCTAGTTATTTGAACCACCATGTCCCCCCAAAGATTCAAGTATATGTAGTTCTACTGTAAATAATAATATACAAAGAGACACAATATTTTTAAATTATGAATGATGAAAATGAGTTACCAGGATTACCTATACTATGCAACGCTGTAGGAGGAACTACACTCAATTTAGCTGGTCCTAATAGACACTTAACGCTTATGGCAGGTCTGCATGCTGTGTGTACTGTAGCTCTACACCATAAACATCTCCAGTCTTGAAGTCTAAAGAACAGACAACCGAAAATCAATAAAATCTTCAAGCATCAAGTTAAAAGGTTTTATAGTACTGATTTATACCTAAGCACAGAGCCACATGTTTTTTCACACACTGAACATTTTGAGGATACTGGCAAATTGCCTTCCATCCACTGATGCGGCATAATAATGTTCTATATAAAAGCAGAAGGTATTTATCAACTAATTATCATAGTTTCTTTGAATAAGGATATTAAACGAATATATCATACTTGGTATAATGTGACAAACGAAATTTTTTATTTATATAAGTTATTACGTATAGAGAAAAGATGTTTTGTTGTAATCATGCGACTTTGTCCTACATACCCCATCTTGGTCCTCAATAATGTCCTTGCCAATAGACGCTAATGTAGTCCACTTGCAATTATTTATTGCTTTTATGCTACACTGTTTGTGAACTTTATATTTACATATTTCACAACTTAATCCATGAGAAGTGACACCTAAAACACAAGTTACAGTATCTTATTGCTTGTAAAATAAATTCCGAGATTACTATTGTACATTCAGTATATATGTATTAATATAATATTTCATTTATCAAATTATTTTAAGGAATCATTATTATGTCCATTGTGAATTCGTTTTCTAATGTCTATTAAACATTGTACAACTATTCTTGTTAGTATATACACATTTTTATTGCTAAGCGACACATTAATTTATCTTTTTATGTTAAGATATTTAATATTGAAACAAAAGTTTAATTTATTAATATAATTTATGTTTTAAAACTTCCTAATTTCTTTTGTTCTATAACTTTTTAATTGTCCGATGAAAACAGACATTCAACTAATAAAATACATTTGCATACCATAAAGAGTATCTCTGCAAACATTACAATATGTTGGTCTTGCATGACTTGTTGCATACCACTGATGATTACCACTGAGCATTTCTGCAATTCCCGAATCTGCCTGAACACGATTCTCTGTCATTGTCCTTAATGCATTCAGCCAATCTTCCATTTCTTGTCTAGTTTCGCCACAGAGAACCAGTGATCGAAATGGAGTTATCACCTATTAAGAAATACAATAGATAGTTTAATAACACAAACACGTAATATTCAATCTAACGTTTAGTCACTTAATTCTAATGTCATTATCCTTTGTTACAATCTAAAGGAATATTAGTCAATTATCTTTAAATAAAGGCAAACACGACAAAATTGAAAAGTAAATTCAAATTAAACTAAAACTGAGACTAAATAAACTAAAAAATTACTTTGACCAGTCTTTAGGATATTCAATAATTATGGTTTTTGTTTGATAATAATCATACTTCGTACAACATAAATGATCGTAGATGTAACGTTTATATTGAACATAAACTATCATATGATTCGGAAAGAAAATAACCTTCCGTTTTTATCCATAGCGAAAAACGAAACATTACCTTGAATCGAGAACGGGTTCTCTGTTGCTTTGGTGACATTTGAATTGCAATTTCAGGCACATTTGAATTCCTATGATTCGCACGTATTCCAAGTAATCGAAGATGTTACATCGGTGCAACGGATATTGACTTTTGTATACACGTAGAGTATCATAGCCGAATGCACCGAGTATCGGAATAACCAAAGCGATAGTCGTATACGCGATGCTCTTTTCTTCTTCTTTAAGCCATTGCTATGTCCTATTTTCCATGGCGCATGTCATGTCACCTCGTTTATAAATAAGTGTTCAAATGAAAACGATATGCATTGTTCTAGACGCCTGTCCTCTGCATTACGGGTTTTGTCTATACATTTTCATTCCACTCGCAAACGCAACAACAACGAGTAAACACAGGCACACAAGAAATGAATGAAATATATTTCGCGATTAGGGTACTCCCATTCAAATTTAAAGGGAGCTGAATGGAACCAACACACGTGTGTATATATTTTACTCTCTAGATTCTAGATATTGATTATGAAAGTAATTTAAAATGTGAAGGGTTGAGTATTCACTAAGAGTTGAGTAATTACTAGACTGCGGATGTTTTCGTAAACTCACAGTTTCACAGATTATTTTGGAAGCACCATAAATTAAAAAAAGTATACATTGTTTAGTAAAGAATGTCTTCAATTAAAATGGTAATAATATTAATTTAAATCTAATTTTTTTTTAAAAACTACATTAATATTTGTTAACACATTTTGTATATTCTCGTATGTCATAAATACATCAAATCTGTGCATTACCCTTTTGCACTTTCAGACATATGGTATTTCGTTAATGGGCTTTGTTTTTCGTTTTAAATATACCAATAAAAAGTATAAAAGAATAATAAAAATTAAAATTAAAAATAAATAGAAATTATACTGTCATTATAAAAATCTTCAACAAGAAAACCATAAAATGCTGTGATCACCGAATCAGTCCCCATGAAAGTTTCATATGTAAAGTAAATGAATATATATATGTGTATTTAAATATTACATGATAAAATAGGCTAAAATATGTAATGGAAGGATTTCACCACTTAGCACTTTGCGTCTTTATTTTCGAAATAAACATATTTAAATTTTCGACCCTTGGTTTCCTTCGTTTCCGTCACCCATTGTTCAAATGTCAAACATATGTCACGCGGCGACACATGCATATGTATACGTATTCACACGCACAAAGACAATTACCAGTCACACTCTTTTTAATTGTAACGTTAAAAACGAAATTATGCAAATGAATAGTGTGTGTTTACTGTGCAAATGAATTGTTAAAGTTAGAAAAAATATGCTTTAAAAATTGGTGAAATAGTCGGAATATTAACCTATAATGCTGCAATGATTGTGAGTTTGGAGCGCACATTCTGATCTTGTTCATTTGAAACTTCAAGGAGAGAAAAAGGGAGGATTAAGAGAACACCTTATATAAAATAGATTTCGCGTCGCGACGACTGGCGTCGGCTGAGCGCTCATCTTAATTCTTCCTCGCTCCTACGAGGGCGCAAATATCACTTCTCTCGGATAACTTTATGGCCGGTTTACATGAACCTATATATCTTATACACTATAATACATTATCGTGTCATCTTTATACATATATATACGAAAGGAGTAATAATAAATAAAAGTATTATAGCAATTCTGGCATAAATTTGAAATTACAGAAAAATGCAAAAATACATGTAAACAAAAAAATACCAAACCATAAATTTTGTTAAACCGAGCTTTGATACGCAAAATGATCGATTATATTTTAACGATAAAAAAAATTGTTATATTTTTGTCTAAATTTATTTCAAAACAAGTTTATTCAATGTTATTAATGTAATAACGCTGTCATATATTTCCATAACACTATAATTTATACTTGGGTCGGATTTTGAAAAGCGTAATATTACAGCATTTACAAAAAATCAATCGATAACAATTTTAATAAGACAATGAACAATTCACGAGATAAGTTAAAGAAATGCTAAAACCACAAATACAATCGATAAAAAGTGGTATATAATAAGTACTGATCAAGTGAAACAGTTGCTATTGGTATTGGTGTAACATTGCGTACGGTTGAGTGACCTGGCTGTGTTGAACAGCGATCATTCGGTTCAAGAGAAAAGATTAGAAATTAGTCAGAATCGTGTATATGGTTAAATTTGTCGGTAGATAGTTAGTAATTACTGTGTTGTAATATAATTAATTAATATAAGGCACAATAATGATTTTGTTAGAGATACATAACAGGATACTAGAAGAGACGTTAACTAACAAAATAAAAAATACCTTTTCAGGGTAAGTAATATACTGTTCTTTTTTGGAGCAGATATTTTACACGTTTCTGAGATAGAGGAAGAGATTATAAGCAAGGGGCGGTGTCCGTTTTAAATATTATTAATATTTATTTTAACACAATATGAAAAAACTCATTTAGTTTATACATGCACTTATATTAAAAATTTTTGTATTTACGAAACCAAACCGTATAAAGTAAAACCTATTTATTTATACTATGTTAAACATTTTTGATGTCAAATACAAGGTTTACAATATATTCACTTAATATTGAATGACATTATATTAACAATTAGAAGCTATAACAATCTGCATGTAAATACTGTGCACGGTTGATCCATAATTTGTTTCTCCTATTTCCCGTTTATTTCGTTATAATCTCAATATTTATAATAAATTGTACTCCTTTTTGTAGTCATAAACCAGAGTCTACAGATGTTGTTATAGCAGATTTCGATGGTGCTTTATTTCACATTTCTAACTTAAGCGGTGACAAGTCAAAAATTAGAGTAAGTGCACAAGAATCTGTTAATATCCATCTTACGTATGATAAAGTATCTTTAATAATATAGCTCATATTTTATTCATCTTTTGAAATAACACATTCAATTAATATTTCATTTATAGTTTCATTCGTAAAATAAATATAATTCTATTAATGCTTACAAAGAATAGTTGTACTTTAAAATACAAGAGATATATATGTTACAATTTAGTAATGTACTCTTTACCTTATAGATAAGTATTTTACTCAAATTTTATAAACAATTACAAGAACACGGGGCTGATGAATTACTTATACGAGAATATGGATCTTACCTTATAGCTCCTGAAACTGGTAAATAAGTTTCATAGAAATCAATGAGTATTTACTTATATGCATGTACAATATTTGATTGCAGTATTTAATAAGATTGTTAATGGTTGTAGGCTACAACGTTTCTGTGATGATAGACTTGGAAAATTTGCCTGAAGATTGGGAAACATTAGTTAAAGAAATTGCACTCTTGAAAAGACATTGTTTTGCCAGTGTCTTTGAAAAGTATTTTGATTTTCAAGAAGAGTACATTAGTTCGCCAGGTACAGAACTACAGAAAAGGGCAGTTATTCAATATAGAGAACAAGAAACAATGTAAGTGAATCACTATTTTCTGCCAGTGATATGCAAGTGGAACATTCCTTACTGTGTATATTTTTTATGCCAAGGTATGTTGAAGCCAAAAGTGATAGAGTAACAGTGGTGTTTAGTACAATATTCAAAGATGAAGATGATATGGTTATTGGAAAGTTGTTTTTACAAGAATTAAAGGAAGGCAGACGTGCGAGTCACACAGCTCCGCAAGTTTTATTTAATCATCGTGAACCTCCGTTAGAATTACAAGATTCTGAAGCAGCAGTTGGAGACTGCGTTGGATATATTACATTCGGTAAATATTAATTGTTCCTTTGAACTTGGAGTAACTTAAAATATGGGAGAAATGTATATAAACTACACATAAACGTTTTTATCTGATTACGATAAACTGGGCAACGACATCTTTATGCTTTGTTTTATAGTACTATTTCCACGACATACAAATAGAGAAGCTCGTGATAACACCATCGATTTAATACACATGTTTAGAAATTATCTGCACTATCATATTAAGTGCAGTAAAGTTTACATTCACTCTAGAATGCGTACCAAAACAACAGACTTCTTGAAGGTATTAAATCGGGCAAGATCACAGTCTAAGAATATTGAAAAGAAAACAATTACGTAAGTTTGTTTGTAAATTACTATGCGTTGAACACATTCTGTCGGCACAGTACAGTTGGTAACATTATATTTTACAGGGGTCGAACATTCATCAGGAAGGAATGAGTGCAAACATAATGTTACATTCCTCGTATTGTTTTCATAAAAGATAAATGACAAAGCCATCATTTGTCTCATAGATTTGCTAGAAATTCTTTGATCTTCTGGCAAGAAATATTCTTTGTAACGGAGGATTCTAACTCACAAGATTAATGAGTCGAGAGTTTTCAGTCTTCGAGTTTTACCACACATTGTCTTTTGAACAGTACAATGTTACTTAAAAGAGTCTACATTGCTGCAAACATATGTCAAGTGTTATGTGCGCAGCAAGACACGATGCATGATTAAAAAGTCATTTTATATTAAAGTTCTTAAAGTAATGCCACAAGAATGCATAGAATCTACGAAGAAATCAGGGAATTCATAGTCTGTGAATGATGTTAAGTATCTTCTGTTTCATTATTTCTATAATGTAAAAAAGTGATGTTACTAACGTTAACACTGATCTTTATGGTCATAGTATGTACGATACCATGTTCTGTTTCTTTTTAATACACTTTATATTACTTGATTTCATACAGATTATTGTTCTTTTTTTTATCGAGGTCCACGTACAACGAGAAATATTTAAAATGTAAAAAAAAATGCGTGGATTTTACGAAATAATGCACTTAATGTTTCATTTATATATGTTTAACACAGTATTGTGTTTTTTGGTAAATTATTTTTAATATCTATACTCTCTTATTAACGTATTATTATTGTAAGATAATAAAAGTATTAATTCTATATAATAGGTACTATAATTATAAAACCTTTATTTATATTATACAGAAAACATTTATTTAGCGACCGTGGGATTTAGCATTATTGATCTGTAATTACTAAATGGTTGTAAGGGTTGGAAAATCCAGATTGAGGTGCAAAGTGGGGAGTGCCAGACAGGAGTATTCATTAATACCACACCCTTTTATTTAGCACAGACACAAAAGGTACATTGTGTGGCTTTTAGGGTTTCAGTTACTAGTGTTCTCTCGGCCGGAATGTGTCATAACATTTCTATACTTTCAGCACAATAAGTTTTTATAATTACATGAAACAACATAAAAGTTTTCAACTTAAGTGTATTATATTTCATTGCATATTATGTAACTTTTCATGATATGTAAGTATTGCACACAATGTATAAAAAGTTCGTTATTATTTCAAAATATTTATATTTAATTGATCTTATGTATTATTGGTCTATATAAATTCATGTAAGAAAAGTATTGTTTATATTATGTACAAAATAAAACCAAAATTATTTGCAATTAATATTGCGAGAGGTTGTATGCAAGATTTTGTTAATGAAATTGTACGTGCAAACAAAATTATTGCTCCATGACTTACTGGAATATTTAAGAATTTTCAGTTGTATTATAAAGGACATGGACGAGCCGACTGTCGCATCACTCTTGTCTTCCTCGTCTTTTTCACCGTGTTCACCTAATGAAATAGCTATACGTCCGGGAGATTGTGTCGAAGGTGGTGTCGAAGAATGGTTGGAAGATGAAGCATTACCTGGGTTTCGTGTTTGGCAACTTGCTGGCATAATTCTCTCTATTTTGCTTAGTGTCCTTATTGCACTTTGTTGTTGTATTCGGTTCCGAGTACCACGTACCAAGGAAGAAATAGAAGCTGATTATATTAGGAAAAAAATAACGAGAAGTTTTAGGAAAGAGCTATCCAAAATCAGTAACATAGAGATGGACGACATGGATCTGAAGAAAGGTATGTAAGCTAAATTAAATACGCAATTGAAATGTTTTTACTTTATTACCGAAGTCTTCATACATGTGTTCTTTCTTCTTATTAGCTTTAGATAAAATTCAAAATAAATTCGACGTGGAAACCCATAAAGTACAGAAGGAACAACATCGAGAAACAACTCAGAAAAATGTACAACATGGATTACGATCAAGATTCAATGCAATGTTTAGTAGAATTTATTTTACTAAACAAGAACATATCGAAACTGACAATATAATTTAACAAATTGTACGGACCATTAGATTCTTACAAAGATAACAATAACAATTATATTTCCTAATTCATAATTAGACCCTGGAAACAATAGTACAGTTAATACTATTACATTTTTCAGTTGAAATTCATAACAAATATGTTCAACATTTACAATAGAATTTTCGAAACACAGCACGTTTAAAACAGAATAAGTAAATTCTACACAGTATCAATTGACTAAATATAATCTTTATTTTATGAGTATAATACAGAAATTAAGTTACTTTACATGCAACAATAATCTACAGCAAAGGATAATATATTTTGGAAAGCACATAATGGGACTATGATGTATATTACCTACCGCAATTACGTTTTATTTACTTATGTTACTATCCGATTAGTATTGTTAAAAGTTTTCACTATTAGTAAGTAAAATAACTTGTTATAAACTATATGCAATTTAAATGAAACTTTTGTTCACGACAAAAATAAATCACAGTACAAACATGTTGTTTAATGATTAGTGGAGCACTGATGTGTGTTTGTTTCTAAATAATGTTAGATTCTTAACACCATTATTACTATTATAATACATATAAGAAACAAAATTTGTAAGTTACGTTTCTTATTGTCTCTCCCTTTCTCTTTCTTCCCTTTCTTATAAGAAAAGAAAAAAATGAAATATTCTTGCAAGTTACTATGTATTCTTCCGATATATACAAAATCTATTATTGTATTCATGAAACAATATATTTTTGGAAATATTGTGAAATGAAACACAATTAAATACAAATATTCATAAAAAATATTTATTACCTGATAAATATAAAATGAGTATTTGCAATCGCAAAACTAAATCAAATAGAAGTTTTCACAGCTAAATTTTTTACGAAGACATAATTTTTGTTTATGAAGATATAACAAAAGTCAATGCTTTTAAAAAAAAAGTTTGAAAATCCAAGTAAACAAACATAACAAGAATTAAATTCTTTTCATTTTATAGCAACATGAATCTTCTGTAAATATAAATTATATTAAACAAGATTATTTCTCATAGAGAAATAAAAGTTGTAGAGGAAAATATGACTTGTCATATACACAACGCTCGCATGTATACTTTACACGCACGCATATAGGAATGATTCAATTAATCATAGTACCTTATCTACCTTTATGCTTCTTCCATTTCATAAAATGAATTTAAATTAATCTAATCGGGAAGTCGACAAAAGGTTTATAAAGAATTAATCTATATTCTTAACATTGTACAACACCAACTGGTGTGATTTTTTCATATTTTTAATAATATCACATAGAGTAGTTATTCACGTGGAATATTTTAATCGTGTACGTTTTAAAAAGTCTAGTATCAGAAGTTCGTATGGATCATTGTTTTTTAAAGTACGTTAAATTAGCAGAAACACGACTTAACGAGATAACTTAATACCAAGGAAGCGTATTTAAATAATATTCCTATCTTCTTCATTTTAAAAAATATATATATATATATATTGTAATAAAACCATAAATTTAATAAAACAACACTACGACAATGTTGTACCTCATATTAGATCCATACTGTGATTTTTATTTTTGATTTTGACTATAGTAAGAATGTCTAAAATTGTTGCTATAAGTAGACAAATTTTGTAAGCGACCCCTCCGTTAGGAGCAAAAGGTACATCTTTCAATCTACCCATAAATTAGGAAAGTTTAGGAAAAAACTTCATAGACTAGAGGATCCAACAGAACTGTTATTGTACAATATAGACATTATTTTCTAATGGACTCGATAGTCGTTTCACCATTATGGAAAAACGATTTCCACGGAGTAAAGGGACTCTACTTATACTCCATTTAAAATCTACCTGCATGCGTTCGTTCTGTACGACCCTACTTAGAGTATTAAAAGAGTATAGAGACTGATTGACATACACGTGTTAACGATGACCAGGGGTGGGGATACCTCTAATTGATGAAGATCGAGGGGGGCGGGGGAGAGGGGCTCACTACGAGGTAAGAGGTTTTGTCAGAGAGCTCGACCAAATAGCATTTAATTGCGCTACAAGACCACTAGCAACAATCGCACTAAATGGCCACTCTTAAGCGTACCTTCACGAGATTTTATTTCTCCACCAAGAGAATTTCATTTTCGGGCTTAAATACTGAAAGCTGATCACTGTCTGAGGGATCAACGATAAGATTGGTAAAAAACTGCCGCAGCTACGACCCTTCGGCTCGTCGTCTAGCGGTTCTGTCACGGTTTCGCTCGTAATGTCACGGTGTGGCGTGGAATACGGATACGGTGTCGACAATGGATTACACGTAATATGCACCTCTCCCATACTCCATTTACTTCTGGTGTCGTTCAAGTCGTTTCCTTGTGTCGTTTCCGAACGATATGGAGAAGCCGCCTTTTTCTCGGCGACGGTGATGGAACAGTTCGATATATTGATCACACGATTATCAAATGCCAGGTCCGTGCTTCTACAATGATTCATTGAAGAATTATCGAACGTGGAATTCGACAAGTTCATCGACTTCAGCGATGTTTTCCTATAAACTTTCGATCGTGTTACGGGTTTAGTTGTCAACTGCGGCGATGACGCTGATCGTATAGAGCAGGAATTACTGTCTCGACGGATATTCATATTATTCTGCGTAAATTGACAATCGTCGATGCCTCTATTTAAACACTTATTCTTAATAAACTGATCGGTATTTATGCAGGAGGGTGTGGATGCAAGTGGTGGACTTATGGATGCTGTAACATTCGGCATAGTTGTTTCTTGGGTGGTAATTACAGAATTCTGTATAGTGCACACGTTCGATTTTGTTTCATTATTATGTTTTATGTACTGAGCATATACAATACCATGGTTTTCGTAAGCAATATCAGATTTCACCGTGTGTTTTAGGGATCGATTTCGTTTCTTTGTTTCGTTCGTGGAACAGGAAAGCGGGGGTAAGAAGCTGTGCGAAAGGACGGGGGTGTTCGCGTGTGCTTCATTCGTTCCTAATTGGCTAGGACCGTATGAAGCGTCCATGAACCCTCAGCTTGGGAATCTCGAGTAAAACGCGCATGTCAAATCGTAATTCTTGAAACGGCAATACTGAACGTCCGTGCGTAACCAGTCGCCGGAACATTTCAGATAGTCGGTTTGCTCAAAGTCCCGCGGACAACCGGCCGACACCGATTCTTTGTTCGCGAATATGGTGACCACGAATTTGTCCGGTTTGAATGCGTTCAGGACACGTCGTATTATCTCCTCGTACGACGTTTCTGGAATGTTACTCTCGAATGATACGTACGAGAATTCGGACTCCGGCTGGGGGGGGGGGGGGGGGGGGACTGAACATTAGAGATGGCGTGAACAGCTACTTGTCAATCACGATTGATTCAATCACGTTCGTTCCAGATCTGGTGATTTTTCACAGTGATTTGCGATTTTTCGGGATCGTTTCTGATTGGTGGAGGAACATAACAGTTCTTTGCTCGCAACACATGACCTGTATATTTTATATTAACGACATCGAAAAAAAATTCGAGTTACATAGCATAAAATGAAGAAATAATTAAGAATAATGAATAAATTAATGATTATAAATTATAATTTACATGTTACCTAGCAAATTATTCTTTTAGAATTTCTTGTTTCTCCTACTGATTTTTAAGAACACAAATAGTAATGTAATTCATTGTAAAACCATACTGAATACGTTTCTCTGTTTAAAGATGAAGGACTTACGATCGCAGTGAGTAAATTGATTCAATATTTAAAAAATCGCAATCACGGTTGTGAATAAAATTAAATTACGAACCGTGATTCGGCGACCACTGTGATGAATCACCGTTAGTGATTTTGCACACCATCTCTACTGAACACGTAGACGAAACATTACAATTCGAAATTTTTACAATTACAGTGAACTCTAACTATATTGCCACTGAACATATTGCCACGCGAGTAGGCACTTCCCCTTCACATGTACACTTTCGAGCACACAAATTCGCTCTCCCACCACGTTGCGTACGCAAGAACACCATCACGATCCAGCTTTTGCGCAGGCGCTGAAGCCGAGGCTACGACGACAGAATTTAGCACGGAGGGGGCTCTGAACTCATTGCCATTATACCTCCCTACAGCCCTCGACCATGGCAATATAGTTAGAGTCCACTGTATATGCTTCAACGATATGGCATTAGCCATAAATGTGGCCGAACCTTAAACCATTAGTACTCGATCATCGGTGGCCCATTGTGTCCCACTGCACTCAGGGTCGTACGCCACTTTCAGGTATGGCGTTCCAAGGAATAAAACGAAAAGGACTGGAATATTTCAAAGAAATTTACGTTTTCGTAAACTTTCATGAAGAATAAAAGGGCCAGAAGTATTTTAAATCTGAAATTAGTACGCTATAAGAACTTGTTTAATTACATTAAAACGGAAGAACCGATCCCAAATTGACGTCGTACGCCCCTGAACGCCGGTGGAGCACAGTTTTCACAATTCAAGGGTATCGAGTAAGAAACACGTAAACTTTAGGGTCGGTCAGGTTTATGGCTAACGTTATATCTTTAAAGCAGCTTCGTAGGGAAAAGGCCTTCTACCATTTGGTTTCGGAAGTTTCTGAAATTTATGCCAAATTAACATGCACTTTAACATTTATTTTAGTAATTGAAATAGATTTACCAAGTGGTTAGGAGACCCTTCTCCTACGTCACTTTTTCCCCTAGTAGAAGCTGAGTTTGCTCGTGGGTGTACCCTCACGAATAAACTTGGCTTTCGCTAGGAGAAAAAGTGAAGCAGGCGAAGGGCCACCTACCATTTAGTTTTGGGAGTTACTGATATTTATGCCAAATTAATATTCGGTTTAACGTTTATTTCTATACTTGAAATAAATGTACTAAGTGGTACGAGACTTTTCTTCTAAACCACTTTTTTCCCTAGTGGAAGCTGAGTTTGATCGCGACGGTACATAATGTATACACACGCTTACACTTTTGTTTACTCCATTCATGGAATACCCGCAGGGTTCGAACAAGAAATCGTCTATGATCATGTTTGGAATTAGTTTATCGATTCCCGACTTTTGAGTCGCCTCATCCGCCGAAGAGCACACATCCCTAGTGAATATGGCCATCACTTCTGGGTCCAAGTGTGTCATTAGGATTTCCAACGTTTGATCTGGTTCAGCTGGTTCGTCTATGAGTTTCTCTCTGTTCAGAGTATATAAATACCAACAATCCGAATCCACAGAGCCCAAACAATAAGCTTCTCCTTCTGAATCGGGGAAATGTGCAGAAAATTAAATATCATTAACATGTAATTTTAAAGAATGCCAGCTCGTAATCATAAACGTTTTTATTACCAGGGAAAAATGTATCGAGCAACGTAACTTCTTCTTCGAACGCTTGATGCGGTGATATCTGTAACTCGGGTTTCTTGTAATTCTTCCGCGAGTAGAATACATTCTGGAACAAATGGAAACTATGTAAAGTTTAAATTCATCATGCTGCCTTTTCTTTATGTCTTGGTGAAAAGAAATAAATATTGTTTATTATTTAAAAAAATATGTAATAAGTAATTACAACATATATCTATGGACAGGGTAAGAAATGATTAGAAATGATTTTGGAGAAATACATTTTCGTGTACAGTATCATAGGTAAGAGAGATCAATAAACCAAGAGGGTAGAGATGTATCCTGTATACTAGAGGTTTCCTATATATAGACACATCACTTATCCATGCACTAGGTCAAGTTATATAGCTAAGTACTTTTAACTTCAATTGGTATGCGGTTAATGAAAATTCTCACGGGCAAACGTTCTAAGTCTGTAACAGCACAGTGCTTCAACACTAGATTTACAAATGTAATAATTCTTAACAGTTAACGAATAATTACCGAAACATATTCTCCAAAAATGTTTCCATACTTGATGTAAGGGAATAAGCAATCGATAAAATTAATAACAAGACATATTTTTATAAATATAATAACAAAATTTGTTCTCGGATATTTACAATATTTCCAGAATTTGTGTGTACATGCCCACTTCTGTATTGAAACTAGACAACAGTAACAAGACAAACAACATATACCTCCACTTCCTCGAAGCCAGTGTACTCTTTTACAAGCTCCAATAGTGGTTCCAAGCACTGAAGTGGTGTAGTTGTACCGCATGTTTTCAGAATAAGCCTACGCTTTGACAGGAACATGCTGCTTTCGCTGGAAAAACAGAAAGATATCCTTATATAACTTCGGGAAAAAATCAGCTTACGTATGTTATACAATGTTAACTAGTAACAGCGTTTTAATATAATTTGGGTTTGGTAGCAATTTGGGATTAATTAAAGAGCGTATACATCGGTTTCGAAAAATAAATATAACATTTATTTAAAAAAAAAGCATAAATGTAATTCAACAGAAAATAAACAGCGAAATTTCTATATAATCATTTTCATTTTCATAGATATTTTCAAAATACCACCAATTCTATTGCCCCATCGTATGTTCACGTATTGTCATTAAAAAAAATAGAGATTATACTTACTAAATATTGATATAGAAATAGTGAAAAACAATTGTTAATTTTATCTTTACTTATATAAAAAGTGAATGACTTTATAGAAATTTCGTAGTTTATTTTCTGTGAATTATATTTATTTTTTTAAATAAATGTTATATTTATTTGTTGAAGCCGATATGGACGCTTTCTTTAATTAATCCCAAAATGCTACCAAACACCAATTTTTCATTGGTATAGAATAATTATAAAAATTCGTCAAAAAATATGGTGACTTTATAGAAATTTCGGCCAGTGCACTTCGAAGTAATCGTTGCCTATCCCACCCTATTATTCAGTACTGCAGCTTATTTTTTTTTTATTTATTTACCAGACATTATATATAGAAGTTAGTTTCTAGATTTGGTTATAAATTTTAAACAAAAATTTTTATCTTCTATAAGGCTTAACTTATTCTGCCTTTTGTTCTTTTATACGGGATTATATGCGATAAATAATTCCTATTCTCATCTTTTATTAAGAAGTGGAAAAAACAAAACCGAAGAGACCAGAATAAGAAATTCAAACCGACTTCATTAAACGATAACGAACCGAAGGTCATCAGACAATGAACGTTATTGAAAGACATCTGTCCTTGGCGTCTACTGTAATATTATTTTTAGCTGCAAATTTTGACGGTATTAGGCACGGATAAAGGTAAGTCGAAATATGTGCAAGTGTAGTAACCATTTTCCCAAAATATCAGATACAATAAAGACGACAAAATTGTTGCTAGCAATAATACCAAAAATTTTCTACTGACTGTTGATTAGAAAAAAAATAAATGATCTTACGTATAATTGTTTTGTTTCAAATTTTCCTACGGGCCACGATTTCTCGTCGATAAAAAATCTATTTATTAATAAATGTAAGTGCATGGAATTTCTACACGGGGCGCGGAAATTTTTTCCCAAAATTTATCATCGATATTTCGTGTAGAGATTGACCCTAAATTCTTCGAGTACAGGCAATAGGATAAATGCAGCACACGAGGCGCTTTATTAGTCGAAACGAAACGCAAAGATAAGTCGGGGAACGCGGATAATACGGCAACGTACAGTGACCACAGACAAGATACCGATTGGAAACGATAAAGTCCAAATAAAAGTGAATAGAGCGTCCGAAGTCTACCATGAATCTCGGAAAATTGGTTCAATTTAAGTTTTTAACATTTATTTAAATAGTTCTTACCGAGTGCCTCGCTCTTGTTACACCTGTTACAAAGTGTAACAAATTTTCAAAAATTCCTTCAATTATATACAGTGGGAGTTAAAAGTGAGTATACACTTTGAATGTATGGGATTTATTAATATTTATTGATCTCAATTTAGAACTAATATTTCGCACAGATGATCTATTATATTGAGATCTGGTGACTGTGGATGACTTAATTGATTGAAAATGTTTTTCGGCAAACAATTCTTAACCGACTTTGCTGTATATTTTAGGTCACGATATCATTTTTAAAAAACCTATAAATGCACTTGCAGCTAAATTGGATTTTATAATATTTAAATATCCAAATTTGTCCATAATATTGTGAATAAAAATCAACTGTCCTATACCAGAGGTTTCCATACTGTTCCAAGCGATAATAATACATTCACCATGTTTAACGATATTTACCAAATTTTGTGGTTATATCTCCAAATTTTTTTCTGTTAAAATTTTTGGTTGCTTACTCATCCCGAAAATGCCAATAACATCATATCAAACTGTATTACTACCACGATCTTACAACAGTAGAATGGTACAGAATTACTACACGAATCTCACCTTTGTAAAGTGTATACTTAGTTTTGATTCTCACAGTATGTATATAAGATGATCTGAAAAAAGGGTCCAATAAATTCGGGGTACATAGTATCTAATAGATAGATAGATACTACCTATAAAATAAATTAATAGATAGATAGAATCTACCCGAGTTGAGAAAAATGTAATCTCATTACAAAATCTAAATTGCAATTACAATGTAATTGCGGGATAATTACAATTACATTATAATTGTAGGTTTCTGGAAATGTGAATAAAAATTTTCATAAGTATGAATTTCAAAAAGGTGTAAATAAAATTATATTTCATTTATTAAAAGTATCGATAGAATTCGACTAGTATAATTTATTTTAAAAGTAACTGACCCAAAATTATCGCGAGTATGAATTATAAAAAAATGTTAGCAAAAAGTATGTTTGTAATTTCCAGACTTCTTAGAAAATTGTAATTTAAAATATTTTCAAAATGATCGAAATACTTTGAAATATATTCAAAATCATTCGAAATATTATTGAAATCATTTGACATATTTCCGAAATCGTTCGAAAAGATTATACAGATTTTAATGAGTCTCTTTCCGCTTTAAGAACGCGTTTAAGGATAAGCTCGATCGATCTTGAGTGACAAATGGTCGTTGAACTTGCCCGGCTGTAGATTGCGATTGCAAATATCAATCGTATAGGTGAAAAAAGAATTCATGGCCTTGAAAATCGCAGTGACATTATCGACGAGATACGTGTCGATTTAATTTAAGAACGAGTGTTCCCTAAAAACCTGTTGGTTCCGTTTAATTATACGCTGAAGTTGGAGGAGTCTGCACACCACGTGTGCGGAAGTCGACCAGCGCGGTCTACGCCAATAGGCGTTCGCTGCAAGTATACCTACGGACCGATTTATTAATTTACATAATAGTCTTCTGTAATATACATATATGTCACAGTAAAAGCGTGAAGTTTAGTAAATGTATACAGTTACTAGTCAATGTATGCATTTACGTACGATTTTAGCAGAAGTATGAACCGAATGTAAGAATGTACAGTAAATCATATGTATTCATTTACTAGATAATGCATACATTTCCTACAGCACGTTGGTAAAAGTATAATGTCGAAAGTATAAAATTTTTAAATATAGGTATATTTAATGAACAAAAATGAAAACTGAAAACGTAACACTTTGTTTGATAATTTAGGGATCTTTTTTAAGAAAATTAGTTGTTTTTATGAGAACGTGGGTTTGGTTAGGTAATATTTTTATTTATGTAAAATAAATACTTAAGTAACATAAATTAAGAGAAAAATTTTCCTTCGTACTGTTGTTATTCATTTTAATAACAACCTAAATGATTTGTACCCATGAAATTAATTATAGCTATGTAAACTGTAAAGACGCGTCCCTATTAGGACAAAATTTATATGACTCATATGGACAAATGCTACCAAAAGTGTTTATTGAAATTAATTGCATTTTTGTTGTGCGTACTTTTACTGAACCAGAAATGTAAATGTCTGCATTTACTAGTAAAAATATAAATTTCGTTCCTTGTGAATACATTTATTAAACAGATTAAGTGCATACGGATCACCCCTATTCTGACAGATTAGATAAACATAGATAATTTTGCTTTAATACTTTTCCGAAACTCTTAGTTTTCCCTTCCTGTAACATACTAAGTGCTGTTTTAGACAAGAACATAAAAAATTGTGAGAAGAAATTTAAAAATAGGTACCTGAGTACTCAGGTACCTGGTTGCCTACACAAGGGTAAATTAATAGGCTTTTTATCAGTAAGCACTGGAACTTAAAAATCTATTGAGCACTTGCGCTGGCAGCCAATTCACAGATGCGTGTAATCTCGATGTGTGTGGCACGTCATTCCAGCGCAAGAGTTTAATGGGCTGAATGAAGGTGATTCCTTACGTATCAGTACGTCAAAAATATAGAATAAAATTTTTGTATTGAGAAAGTCAGAATTTCGATACGCCACCTAATGACAAAAAATGGAACTAGTGAGTGTAAGTCGAGTATCCATATGATCGAGAATGTTTAAATAGACAGGTTGAGAAAAACTAGTGTTTTTATATTTCTTGCGTTATTCAATGCTTTTAAATTAATCGGTATAATAACAGTCATAATTATTTACACAGTTATAAAAATATTCACCATAGAATTGTCTCCTAGAAAAAAAAAAAGTAAAATATATTGCTGTGTATAAAAAGTAACCTTGCTAAAATTATAAAATAAATAAAATCAAATAGAAATAATTGACCGCTTCAGGGAATGGGTGAAAGATTTAAAAATTGGCAAGAATATATCGTCGTCTATGATAGTATGCTCATTACACTTTACAAAAGACGATTTCATCCCAACAAGTACAGTAAATTCTCGATGAATGTTTGAACGCACTGACAAGAAGAGGTCCCCAGGTATAGCGTTAACTTTTTAATCAAGTTTAGTACAGTGGTATTTTATTATAGTATATATTAGTACATTGGCTTGGTATTTCGAAGCCAATTATATTTTTTACAGACGCATATGGCAATTACTTTATGAAATATCTAATGTTCAGTACCGAGGAGCCTTCGAACACTCATCCAGGATTTACTGTATCGCTTTATCACTATTCGAAACCTATAAACATGATTCACTTATCTGTCATTAAATATTTCGTTAAGCGGATAAAGCTTCAGATACGGAGGACGCGGTTCAAAGAAACGCAGACGACAAATGGCTTTCTAATCGCATTCTCGATTACAGATAATCGCGTACCGGGGAGCTCTGGCGACTATTATTGTTTAGTGGCCAAACATTCGAGATGATGTTGCAAAATTGAAATTGTTAGTACAGACAGCTTAACCCTTGCATGACGGACGTGACAGCCTACGGCTGGGTCACACGTGACCCATACTAGACGAGAGATGGACAAACTAATTATTTAGATAAAACGTTTCAAATAACGAATAAAAGATAAAAAAATATTTTGTCATTTGTAATTGTTTAAACGTGAACATTTCCATTTTTAGAAAAAAATAATACTTCTTTATGAATGAATCGACATTTGTTGAACAAGTATTTAATCTCATTATTTGTCTAAAGCTCAGGACGACACCCTTAGATACTGCTGCTTTTCACTGTGTATTAATCGTATAAAATTCTGCCTAACTCTGCTAGACACTATATAGAGGGTGTCTCAGCTAACTTGTGCACCTCGAATAATAACTTAACGGTACACTTTATGATAATTTTGAGGCGTGTAACTTAAATGGCATCAAAGGACACATCTTATAAGGTACATGCTTTTTTTGTACTTGAGGGCATTTCAGAGATTTCAAGATCACCTTGATTTTTTGTAACAGTATAACCTATTTTTTGTATCGTAGATCGATAGAGTATCAAATTCTGAGTAAATAATGTGTTGACCTTCATACGTCCTAAACCTAATAGTTAACGAGATATTTACAAAATAATCATTGTATTAAAGCTATAAAAAAATAGTATATTCATTTAAAGGAATTTGTAAAAAAAATTATGCAAAATTTGTATTGTTGTAAAAATTAATTTTTGTTTATTCGTCGGACACATCCTTTTTTCACAGAACATCGAAGCATACCGAACGAAGTGACCCAGCCATGGAGGGTTAAACAAAGATTTCGTTAAAGTTCAACACAGTTACACTTGGTTTCGTTGATTTTGTTTATAATATAATGAAATATTAGACTTCCTGTAATTCAAGTGGAGGGCGGTATGAATTGTAAGGTGATTCGTGTGTACGCAAAATGTACAAAATCGTAACGCCACAGATAACGAGCCGTGATGGGCTATTAATTTCCTATCAACTTAATGGCTTCTATTTTAGTCCATGGAAATGATTATTTAGCGATAACACACGAACAAAGAACATCTGTACTAATTTAGTTGCATTTCTTAATGTAGAGATACGATAAAATTTAAGATACCCCATCGTACGGATAGCAGCGTCCGTGCATGTGGACCCCGGACTTTAATGGAAGTTGCAGTGAACCGTTGCATTGTGTATAATACAAACGATGTGTACTCTGTTTATTACTATACTATGTATTATTCAAGCGATTACTAAACAGTGAATGTTCATGTGAATAAAAATATTTGTGGAAAAATTCAGAAAAATTGAATTTTAATAAAATTTTATATTCTATAAGGACACCTAACAGATGCATTTATTTGTTTTTCAAGTTGAACTGTTGTATAGTTTAAAAGGAATAAAAATTCCAGGCATATCAGAGTTAATAGTTTCAATGAGTTGTAAATAAGATCGAGGATGGATCTAACATTACGTTTCACTTACATCCATCTTTTAGGTATGTTAAACACGTGCGAAATATTTTACATGTTTATGTAAGACTTATTACCTGAGAACATAGGCATCCACTTGCTCGGTACGACAAATGCTGATGATCTCGCAGCGGACAATCTTCAACAAGGACTGCCATTTTCGCCTGGAAAACAAAGAATATCGGTCTTGTTCAATTAATAAATTTCATAAAATATGGAGAATTCAAAGTTAAGTATTTATACAGGGTGTTGCAAAACAAGTGTAAGTCCTCGAAAGGCATAATTCCTGGGGTGATTTGAAATAACATTTTCCTTAATGAAAATGTTCATCGAGGCTTTGTTAACGAGATATTAACGAAAAACTCCGACCAATCAGAGTCTGCATTAATTTTTATTATATATCTCACAGTACTGACACGGGAACATTCCCAGAGCAAAAATTATTTTTCCCTTTAAACTGGCATGAATTTGAAGAGGATTAAAAACTATTGAACGTGTATTTTTGTTGATTTTGCTAAAAAAAAACGGTTCATACCTACGTTTCGAAAAGTTCGTTGGAATATTCCGTCCTTCCTTTTTTTTTTATTTACGGCAGCGAAATAAATTTCGGGTCAAATAGACCAGAATACAGCAGCACGGTCGTATTAAGATAAAAGACGCGTATTACGGCAGACCTCGATGAATCTTGATGGAATATAATGTTCATGGAGAACATTTTGAGAAATTTCGTATTCATCGATACGAATAAATTATGAGCAATTGTTAATGGGATTTGTTCGTTAGTGTAATAGCTGCAAAATGAATCAACTATATTGTACTACATAAAGTTATTCTTATTGTACAATTAAATATTTAGTTAACACGATTTAAAATTACTTTTTACAATTACAATAGCTTGCTGTTTAATGTCGCTCAAAATTATCAACAATTGCTAAATCTGAAAATGCAACGCACGATCACTGAAAATCATCGAAGATTAAAAGCTGCTGATTTAACACTTCTGAGGTAGTTATATTTTGAATTGTTAGTCGGATGTATCAAGATTTACTGTTTTTGATTACTGAAAACGATTGTATCGCTCAAAAATACTCAGAAACTGGCAAATAAATGTGAAGTACGCCAATGTAAAAGATTAACAGTAATGACTAATAATTGATGATGTAATTACATGTAAATTTGCGTAGATACGATAAATAATTTATTACCGATAATATCAAGTTATCTGGTGACATGGATGCTCCAAATTTTTCGAATAATTCGAGCAACTTGAAGCTATCAGGGAATTGGAATAAAAAACAAGATCAGATTTTTCGGCACAAGTGATAAGTATTAAATACAATAAGATAAATTGATGGATCGAGAAAAATATTTTATCGTCTTCAACACGTGCGAGCCGCATGGTTCGAATATTCGTTGTAAGAAACTCATTCTACAAACGCTCATTAACACTAAAACTACCAGAGCAGTCCAAATGATTGATTAATATCTTTTTCTTCGTTTTGTAATTTTATAATCTTATAATTTTTATAATTTTGTAGCTCGTTTTACGTCCTGTACATGTACACCAAGGGACTTATTGCCCGTTAAATAAATTAATAATAATAATACACTTTCATAACGATGATTGAGATGTTACAACAGTGCATTTTCGTAGATCTTTTACGACATTTATTGCAATATAAAATTGAAGAAATTAGTTGATTTATAAATTTGTATATTTCCAGAAGTTTGCCATGTTTATCTATCTGATAGACATACATATACGTTTATCGTCGGTAATTCTAGTGTTAAAGTTCACTAATAGAACAGAATAAAAGAATTTTGGTAAGAATACTATCAATAATCAAATAAAACAGTATTGTAAATTTCCACACAATATATTCTGAAAGCATCTTCTACAAACACCATACCTATATATACCCAAAAGTCCACACTTCGATCACAATCAATCCGCGCAGATACTTTGAAGCATACCTGCGTCGATTAAAGAAGTTCCAAATAAATTAGCGTTTCTCCGAATACGTCTTATCGGGATCGTTTTATCACGGCTCTCAAGTTCACGAACGACGCCCGGCTTTTCCTGGTTGACGTCGCGCGATATAACCGTTCAATTTGTAACCGTCTCGAAACGTATATGCATATGTAATACAATCCTTTAAAGTGGTTCATACCTGACACTCTACTCAATAAAGCATCATATTACTAATTGGTATTAAACAACCCACTAATACATTTTAATGGCGTATATAAATTATATCTATGAATTTCAACGACATTTCCAATGGTCATTCTTCATTATATTAAAAATAAAAAATATATTTTGGTTAGTTGTATGACTCCATTGTACTCATTTCTGGTACATTTGGCAACGTTGTTTTTGCACGCATATCTGTGTACGTGTGTGCGTGTTCAGTTTTCCCGCGTATAGTCAATATTCAATTATGTTATTCTTATATGTACAGTTAATTATATTCTCGTGCATTATAATTTAGAAAATTAGAATTCACCAAAACACAGAGTAAGTAAAGTATTTTTTATATTCATTTGAATTTCGCGGGTATGATTCTACTTCAGCAACATTGCCAAATCCTCAACATAGTTCCAATAACCATCCAACTACCGACACATCCTGGACTTTATTGTCAAATATCTTCCTGGAATGTTCGGCACGGTACAAGATTTAATTCGTTATCAAAAAGCTCAGGATTTATATTTTCAGTACCTAGGTTTCGGTTAACAGTTCCAGTTTCTGTCAAAAAATTATACTTCCGGTTAGAAATCGTAAGACTGCCATAAGGGCTGTGTTAAAAATTGAATTTTTGACTATTTGGTTCTAATAAACAATTGTATGAATTTTATTTAATTATCTAGTCTTTCGAATTTCGCACGAACCTCCTTAATCTCCCGTGTAACCGATTCTTATCGTCCCCGGTGGATTCACGTCGGACACGAAACATGACCATCGAAGAGGCTCAAGGAACAGACAGATCCCACAGGTTAGCTATCTGGTGTAGTGGCTAGAGTTATTTTTTCGAAGGTTCGAAAAAATCGTCGAAATCTCGCGGTATCGTACGTTCACATCTATGTCCTCGTTGCCCCGAGACTATTGTCTGGATCGATGCGTTTATTCCGGTCATAATTCTCGGGTAGTAATGTTCCATTAAAACTATAATCATTAACCCTATCAAAAACTCCCATTAAAACTATAATCATTAACCCTAAACCCACACCCTTCCAATTTTTGGCACCAGTAACGCCGTGGGGTCGCGGGCTACCCAAAATAAAATCTTAGTATTTAAAATACTGTTTAATATTTCCAAACTATTCTTCCTTAAGCACCATAGGAATTAATAACTGCACTGTGTGATATCTCTTAAAAGAAAAAGGAAACGTAAAGAAAAGCTGAATATTCTAATGTTAATTTTCACGTCTGTAGACAAGATTCAAATTTCGCGGGGTCGCGGGTCCCCCTATAGTGGCGTTCAAGGGTTAATAAAATTGAAAAAAAAAAATTAAAGTACACTCGTCTTTAAACAAAAAAAAAATGCCATCTTTTCATTCGACGTAAACATCGAAAGGGTTAAGAACCATTTCGCTATAGAAATACGATTACATAATACGGAGCAAAGAGCGAATAAAAACACGCACATCATTCGTACATGATGCACAGACGCTATGCAAACCGGAAGTGTGAGCGTGAAACGAGATTATGTGCCAAAAGGCATGCTTCGGTCGCGCAGCGAACAAAAGCGGAATTACTCGGGCAGTCGTCTCTCGCACAATTTCCACCGTTTATCGATACTTGCCAACATGTTACGGTTCGTCTAATTATAAAAATTGACGGTCCTAACAGCCAGTTTCGGACGATCCGGTTTTTCGACCAATTCCGGTACTTTTGCCGAATCGGTAATAACCGAAAGCAGCGTTATTATCGATAATTACAATTAATATTAATTATCAGTTTAATTAATATATAATATTAATATAAATTGTTATATACCAATTATTATATTAATTTTAATAATTAGAATAATAATAATTACACTGTTTAACAAATGTTAACTGTTTTCCTACCTCGTAAACCATTAATAGGCTTCTCTGATAGATCTTTATGAGCAGAACACGAATCTGTAAACCGTTTATTCCAAGCAAGTCCAGTTTTTGAAAAAATAAACTTTTTAAAGTATTGCAAATTTCAACTTTTGTGGATGTGTTGTGCTTTTACAGTAACGGTTAATATTTCTTTAGGTGTTACATAAAAGTTATTCAGTTGCTTTTGACACAAAATAATTCTCTGGACTCTCCCGAACAAAATCATGTAAATTATTATTATATTATAGACATCTACATATATTTAAATAATGGTCAAAGTGAAAACGCCACCGAAAACATACCAATTGTTACTGATATTCTTCAATTTATTTCAAAAACTCAGGGTGTAGGAGCAAAATCTAACTGTAGCATTCGTTGGAGCAGACCTTTCTGCTAAAGACGGTGTGAAGGAAAGTTTTAAAATCTGTTTTGCTTTCAATAGAGAAGCGAAATAGTTCAGTAAAAGACGCGGCGGTACAGTGGTACTCGATGACTGCGGTCGCCTGGCATGCCGTTCAGCGTGACAAAACCGCTAAATGTGCACAGGCAAGACGACTGCAGTCATTGAGTACCACTATGACGCCGCCGCGTGTTTTACTGCACTATTTCGGTTTCTCTATTAAAAACAAAACAGATTTTGTAACTTTTCTTGATACCTTCCTCAGCAAAAAGGTCTGCTCCATCGCATGCTACGGTTAGATTTTGCTCCTAGACCCCGAATTTTTTAAATAAATTGAAGAATATCAGTAACAATTTGTGCGTTTCCGGTGTCCTTTTCACTTTGATCATTATTTAAACATATTTAAATATCTATAATAGAATAACGATTTGCATCATTTTCTTCGAGAGAGTTCAGAGAATTATTTTGTGTCAGAAGCAACTGAATAACTACCACTGTAAAAACACAACACACCTCCGAAGTTTCAAATTTTTAATTTGTTAAAAAGTTGATTTTTTATAAAACTGTACTTGCTGGGGAAAGAACTGTCAGAAACGCCTATTAACGGTTACGAGGTAGGAAACTGTTAACATTTGTTAAACAGCGTAACTATTATTATTATAATTATTAAGATTAATATAATAAGTGGTATAGAACAGTTTATATTAATATTATATATTAATTATAATAATTGAACTGATAATTAATTATAAATTACAATATTATTGTTTACTGTAATTATCGATAATAACACATTATCGTCTAAACCGATTATAGCGGGCGGCGTTCCTGCAATACGAAACATCCCGCCGCGAGGATAAATATACAAATTCGCCCACTAAAACGATCGCAACAGTGCCTCGTCGATCTATTAAATTAAAACATTAAACCGCAACAGAAGTTGACACGTGTATCATTGTCGTAGCGCGACCGGTCGAATGGTAGTTTCAAAATTTATAGTTTTACTTTTTGTGCGTTTTCATGTGAAGCTTTGACGCTGGGAACCACCAAACCCGTCAAAATCAGGGATTGAATATCTCTTTAGGATTACTGAAATTGTATGCAGTGATTTTGGCGGAATATATGTTTTGTAATTATTCCATACCAATGAAAAATCTGTGTTTGGTAGCATTTTGCGATTGATTAAAGAAAGCTTACACATGGGTCTCGAAAAATATATATATAACATTTATTAAAAATGAATAGAATAGAAACAGCGAAATTTCTATAAAGTCATTTGCTTTTTATACAAGTACAGTTGAAATTTACAATTTTTTTTTCACTATTTCTATATTAATACTTAGCGTAACCACCATTTTTTAAAATGAAAATATAAAAACAGATACAATGAAGCAATAACATTGGTGATATTTTGAAAATATCTATGAAAATGAAGATGACTATATAGAAATTTCGTCTAGTGCATTTTTAAAGTATCACCAATTTTATTGCTCCATCGTATCTGTTTTTATATTTTTATTTTTAAAAAATGGGGGTTACATTAAGTATTAACAATTATTAATTTCAACTTTACTTGTATAAAAAGCGAATGATTTTATAGAAATTTCGCAGTTTGTTTTCTATTGAATTACAATTTTGTTTCTTTTATTAATCTTCTTTTAATTAATACCAAAGTGATAACATACAGCAATTTTTCATTGGTATGGAATATTTAAGAATTCATTAAAAAAACATGGTGGGCAAATGTCGACTCATTCAGGAAGAAGTATTAGTGTGTTATAAAAATTGGAATTTCCACGTTTAAACGGTTAAAAATGACGAAGTACTTTTTTTATCTTTCATTCGTTATTCGAAATTCTCTTTATCTAGATTCTACATAATCAAGTTGCCTATAACAAAAGAAATGATATAGAGAAAGATATTTTTAAGGTATCTTTAGTGATAATAACATCGGACAATAATAAACCTATTGCAATTATCCCTACGTACCAACAAACTAACACCAAAAGAAACTGTAATACAAAATACAAAGAATATAATAAAAAAATTACATTTGAAGTCGTGTTTCCTCAAAATACTTTTTTTATGTTCCTTCTCATTGTTATAAATAAAGTACGTATTGCGTCGGTTTTAGGTACTCTTTTTTTCCTAGAATCCACATAATCCACACCAAAGTTTTACATCCGTTCGATAAACTGACTATCGTTGCTAAATCTACTACTACTCGAAATTATAATTGTTATAATTGTACAGGATGATTCTCACGCTGCGTAATAAATAGTCATCTCAGTGAGATCCGATCAACAGATTACACATGGTGACGCAGCGGTCCATTTTTGCGGCATAGTCTTTGATTTATGTAGCGGGAGAATCACCCTGTACTTGATTTTTCGGCATGTTCCTCTCTTAAATATTCTTATGATCGATTGTATTAATATAATAATTTAAAAAAAAAAAGAATATTTCAATAACAGTAGCGCTAATAACAATAATACCACTAAAATTGAAATTTATCTACCTGTAACATCGAATTAAGATAAAGAATATTTATTTTTAAAAAATGGCCTATATCGATTTATAGTTAAATTAACAGCAATAGAAATTGTATTAGTAATGCTTGCGATTAATGTTTCGATAATTTGTATTTACGGAAAAGGAAACTTCGAAAATTACTATAACATACGTCGGTAATGTAGTGTACTTCGTTAATTTCGTCATAAAGATTTCTTTTCGAACTTCGTTTACAAATGTCGAATGACCTTGAAAAATGTTACGCGAAGATAAATATAATAAACTAAATTAAAATTTCAATGTGCGTACTTCAATTACCGAAATACACGCTCCTTCATCGAGTTTCCTATTATACGACGATTACTTAAGGTAAATATTTACGCAATAAAATACACCAATTCGAAACGGAAATGTTTGTACAATTTCTACAAATTGTACTTCCGAATTGTAACGTATGTATACAACAACAAAAAATACATTCATATTCACGAAGGGAAAAAAACGATCATGGTCAATAACAGTCGGATAATTGTTATTCAAACATTTTGTCGTTTATTGCAAATTCATTTTGGCAAAACTAAAACGGCCTTTAACAGATAATTCAAAATATGTACTGTAACTTTATTTTGCAAATTTAAGTTATACAAAAAAGATATTACTTAATAATTATTGCAAAAATTATAATCTCTTAATAGTAAACAATATTCTCTCCCGTTTAGAGAGTTTGTGTAAATAAAAGATTCTGTATTATCTATTACGTTCAGTCTTTTTTTTAAATAGGAAAAACGTTTTTAATGGATTTCTCCTTTTACTAATTGTAAGTCAATAATTATGCCGCGAGTGCACGTGATACTATCTCAATCACGATAAAGAATAAACACAAACGCGGGTTCTTTTATACGGTATGGTTTTGCGGCAAATGCAATCAGTTTTTACAAATGACGGAATTTATAATTCAGTAGAATTTATTCTCCAGTCATAAAAACACACTGTATGCGTAACACTTAATTTTACACAATACACGCAATAAGTAATAAGAATTCGCAAAAAGAATAAAAAAAAAGACTTTATAATCATTATAACATTTGTTACACATACAGTTCAATAATATATGGATGCGTTTGTTAAAATTAATAACCATCAAGAATTATTAACGTACATGCAAGTCCATTATAATGTACCATAACATAAATCTATTTTCAGCCACGGGTAATGTTTCTCGAATGTACCGTGTCAAAGACATATAAAGTTTAATGCTCAAACGTTATACATATATGTATATACACCATATAAAATATCATTTTACAATATGGTATAATCCCTTATATAACTTTAGTATATTTAAACGCCAAATATTCATTACCAATACAGAAACCGCTTTAAATTTTATATCTTTAATTACAATTTCCGTATGCATCTATGAATGTTACTATTCGTTTAAAACAATTTGCATGAGCAATAAATAATATATACAAACAATAATGCTCCGTCCTAGAAAATGATCGAAAATAGTCTGTAACGACACAATAGTGAATACCTCATAAATATTTGTTTACGTTAAAGGGAATTTCATTCCTCTGGCAGTGAGGTTCAACGAAAGAAAATGTGTATCCCCTGAAGTATAACAATGAACAGCATTCAAGAATTAAAAACGTGTTTATATACATATATATTTTTATATTTTAATACACAATATTGACAAATGGGCCACGTTCCGGGCAACAATTACCACGGAATGCTAGTAAACTCCTAGAAAAGGGAAGATTACATCGATGTCTATTTATATTCAATTTAAAATAAGGAGATAAAGCGATGTATGTATATACATATCAGAGTCACGTAGCCTCACTTTGAGCGGTCGGTATTACTGGAACGAGAAGGTGGGCGCATCGATCTTCGCCAAAAAACACGACGCATACACGCTACTGGTCAATTCAATCTATTCAATGCGAGTACGTCGTTAAACCATTTTTTCCAAACAGAATCACACATTCGTTCGTGTTTCTCGAGTCTCCCTGGAAACATCGGAATGTAAATTCGTGCCGAATATCGCAAACGAACGGTCGGTCTTCCGTAAAATCGACACACGTGAACCAGCTTATTCTCATGCGAGTGTTTGGTTAAGCACACTAACGATTACTGTCGGAACAATTATATCGCAAAGTGCCGGCGATACGGTCATGGTTACCAAGCCGGTTTTATTTTATCGAAACATTTATTTCGATTAAACTACGTGTCATTGATAAATACTTAATATTTGTTATTCTTCGAGCAATGGTAACCTTTGATACAAATGTGTTTAGGCTGAAATATAATTGTAAGTCCGAAAATTTTTATTGAATTTACACGAACGCAGATGCTCGGCAAAGAACGACGGTCGTGACTAGTAATTATCGCGCGAGTATTCTGTGATAAGTTTTAAAAGAAACGTGTCGAGTCGGTACAGGGGTAGAAAAGGCAGTTGGTTAGATTCAAGGGGGATAGTGTACTTCAACTTACTGAGGAATCTGCCTGAGATCGCCCTGCTTTCTGTTTATGCTACTGTTGCTTGTGAACCAAATCTCGAGGAGTTTCTCCACACCTTCGAAGAATTGCACGCTGTCGGTGCCGTCGTCTTTGGTAGTTGCCATCCTCTGGAGACACGAAACTTTATTCACAACTGTTGTGTACGCGAAGAGGGACAAAACAAGAATTTCTTTCTTGAGTTTGTGTTTCGCTCCAAATGCACAACAAACCACTCTTCACACCGAACTTTGCTTTACTACTGAGAGAACAAGTGAACGAGCAATCATATTGGCGGTGGTTTCTGTCCTTCTCCCTCTCCCTCGCGTGCGCAATATGGTGGTTTCTGTCCTTCTCCCCCACTCTGGTACGACCGTCCTTTTTCAACTAACGCATCTACGTTGGATGCGTGTGCCTACCTCTCCGCCAATCAGAAACCTCGCGTGACGCGTGCGCGCTTTAACTAATTATTTTCGAAATTAAATTATTCATGTAATTTCCCCAGTAAGATAACTGCATTTGAAAATAGAAGAAATCTCGTTATCCGTGTTATAAAAATTATACCGTTTAAACGTAACCAAACAATAAGATACATATATTTGGGACGAAACAGTTGGATAGTTGTGATCATTCTTTTTAACTACTGTATAGTACATGTGCATACTTTAATGTTTAACTTATCTTCATAAGAAAACATACGTTTTTATAATTGTTTCATATGTATCGAATGATTATAAATATTTATAAATTAATGTAGGTTATGGCAAGATAAAACGAAAAATTGTAGTTACCTATAAAAAAGTGTCTTTATAATGTTCTGCTACTATCAGGATAAACTGCTAAATTTAACATTACAAATACTTTATGAAATATGACGGCACTACAACTAAGTAACAAACAGGAATCACACACATTATTCATACTGCAACTCGAAAATGAGTTAAAAAATTTTATATTACAAAACAGTTTTGGTACAGATACATTCTATTAGGAGGTCTCCTATGTTATTTTATCTTTTTCTTTTTAATTATTTTACTCCTTCCCTTAGCACTAAATTTCTGAGGTTTCTTTTCGATTGTTTTCACCAAAACATCGTCTGTCATGGGTTCAATAACTTTGCCCATACTCGTCTTAACGGTAGGCTCGATCATTTTTCTGTGGGCATTTTCGGGTACAAAGTTTCTTCCGAGCGGCATTCTAACACTAGCTTCGTAGTCCTTAACACTCGTAAATGGATATGGTAGTTCATTGACTTGATGTTGCTTTATATTAGCATTATCATCTTCAAATATTATTACATCTCCTTTATTCTCATCTTTGCGGGGTAAATCCTTGGGGAACTTTAATATGAAACGTCTTTTACGGCGTTTCGATACTTTTATGTTTTTCCCACCCCAATTACCCCAGCCTGGTAAGGTTAAATCGATATCCTTAGGTTGAGATTTTTTCACCTGCAAATAGTTTTTTTGTATTATATTTCAAATAAATGAATTAACAAACTGATTTGTAAAACGAATATGTTTCAACGTACCTCCTCCTCTTTTTCTTTCCTGAACTCTTCTACAACATCATCATCAGCAAATGCTTCGCTGATTACGTTATGCTTTTCATCCTCATTTTCACTATCATCCAAGGCATCGTCATCTCCTGTTATGTCAGCTGGTAGATCTGTATGCAGTTGTTTGGGTTTTACATTTATATACTTACTAGGGTCTATTTCTTTTTCAGATGCATTCAGTTTCTGTGCACGTGCATCTGGTTTATTTACAGATAAACTACTACTGTATTCTATATTTTTAGCGTTTTCTGATACAGTGTCTGTTTCCATATCATTTTCATTGAGGCTCTCGTGTAAAGATGAGTCTATGACTGGTCTTTGATTTTTAACTTGCATTTCAAGTCCATCGAAGTTATCTTCCTCCGATTTATTATCATTTTTATTTTTCTGTTTCTTGGGTACCTTATTGTAGTTTTCTGTAATGTTTCGAAGTTTTGAATTCACTCGATCTTGCAGTTTCTCTTCCATGGCATTAAAGATTTTACTTATTTTTTCTTTATTTGATACAGTAGACGTAAAATCAAATTTATGTTGTACATGATCATGTTCCACAGATTCTACATTCCAAGAAGAAGTAGCGGTAATCTTGTTTGAACATTTTTTTTGAAATCTAGCTTTTTTAATCAACTGTTTATTATCCTCCGATACTTTTCTTTTTGAAACTTTATTAGACGAAATATGTGTTTTATTTTCGTTGTTAGGCTTTACTATTTTTGTATCCTCTATGCCGCTTTGAATTTTAGACGACTCCGTATTACAATTAATATTTTCATCTGCAAAGAAAAAAAAGTCATTAATAAAATTCGTAATTTCTATTGAATACGTATGCTATTTTCGTAAAATACCTTCACTAATAGGAACAGTCTTCAAATTTCCTGTAGACATTTGTTCTTGTTGATTTTCACTATTATTTTTCTTATTTACACTCGTTTGCTGGCTTTGTAATTGAGCATTTTGTTCGTCCCAATATTTACGGTAACTCTTAATAAAATTATCTACTTCCGACTCAGTTTTATCATTATTCACCCATGGATTTTCTGCATCTGCAGTTGGAGGCAGCACAGGTGAGCTATTGTTTTCATCCTCTTCGTCGCTATCGTCTGCTTTTTTTAATTTTTGTGTTAATTCGCGTCCAACTGATAACTGTTGTGCCAGTTCTTGTCGAGTCTAATGGAAGAATTATAATGACAATTACATATATTATAGTTGTATTTATTAGTATAACAATGATTACAGTGAGAAATATTCATTAACGAAAAGAATTACCTTTCATTCTAACAAAAATGAACATAAACAATACATCACAGGGAGTGTTCAAGAACGTTTTTCTTGCACGAAAAAAAGTATTCCAAGACTTGTTTTTTAACTCAAATAATAATAACACAACGTAATGTACTTACTTCCTTATCGTATTTCGCCCGAACTTGTTTAGATTGTGCCCATTTTCCTGTATTTTTATGTCTCAACGACATTCGTTCTTCTGCTCTGGCCTTATCCAGTTGTTCAAGCTTTTCTAATGCAGCTTCTGGATTAGATTTTTTCAATTCATCGAATTCTTTCAATTGTAATTTAATTTTTTCTTTCCTCTGAACACGATGAAACTTTTTACTCTTAATCTTATTTTGACGACGAGACTTAGCTTCCCTGTAAGACTAAAAGTAAATAGCATTAAAAGGAGAGACAGTGCATAATAATATTACCCAAATACTTTCATTTCTCAATACATACTTGTTGTGCCCTTATTTTTGCAGTCTCTTTCCTTTTCATAATAATTTCTTTCATTGTCAATGAGAAGTCATCGTCCTTTTCCTTAATATTCTCTTTTTGCGGTTCTAATGCAGCAAGTTTTTTTTCAAGTTCCGACTGAAGTCTGAATTTTCCAACAAATTCTTTAGATGGTTCCAATCTCATCGACGACGACTGATTCAAAGGAAAATGTAGGGATCCTGCTGTTCTGTTTCTTGTTATTACAGCATTCCATTTTTTTAATTCCTTCTTTGTATTTTCAAATCCGACCACCCTTTTTATCTAAACAGTATATAATACATATACCTTGATGGAATGTATCTAACATTTGTGTACAACTTATTCCATTTGTATAACAGATATCTTACTCTATCCGCAGCAGGCTTTTCCAAAGGTTTTTTTAGAACGTTTACTTTCTTCCTTGCAGATTGTAAAGTCCTAGCAATTTCGAGGTGATGACCTTTCTTGCCTAATACATTTGCCAAATCCTGTACACGTACTGTGTCGGTATCGGATACCCCACTCTTTACTAAATGAAATTCTGATACTTCTAAAGTCGGTTCACTTCTTTCTGCTCTCTTTACTCTGAAGAAAATAATATTATCTCAAAAACCTATATTAAAAAAATGTTATTAAATTATACAAAAGCATTTCATTAATCACATTAATGGGAAGTTATCAAACAAAAATCCATATTAAAAAAATATTTAATGAATAATATGAAAACACGAAGCCTTAAATATTTGGAACCCTTTATTTTTGTGAAGGTATAGATATAATGGTAATAAACTCATTATATTTTAAAGGCAAAAACTTCCACTGAATACATATATATACATATATATGTAATATGTTGTTTTTATATTATTTACATTATGCACTACTATTTAACCAATAATATTCTTAGTAATATTTTTATAATTAGGGACAAAAATGCGTAAATTAGTAAGTAACAATGTACAGGAAGACTTTACTAAATTAATTTATATCGATTAAATTGCTCCTTTAATTGCCTTTAGAACGAATTAATTCAAAATATCCTGAAAATAGTACCGAAGTAGAAACACCGAAAAAATACCGGTGAATATATATATTCAGTGTCGGTATTTTCATATACTGATATAAAGGTACAATGGCATTTTCACATTTCCATTTCTATACGGGTCGCTAAGATGTAACTGAAAAATACCGATATAATATCAATACTTTATATTTTGGCATGAGTCTCTAATTAAACGTAAAGGTTATGCAGTGTAAATTTCCTTATGTTGTAATCGAACTTACCTTTGGCCCTTATCAAGTTGTGAAACAGCTTCAAGAAGCTTGGAATGAGATTCCGAAACCTCTTGATCTGTATCGTCTAAAAATTCTGAATCACTCATTGCTGTATCTTTTTGGTTAAAATACAATATGCATTCCAATTCCCGTGAAACAAGATAAAAATCAATCATTAAAGGAGTAAAGATCGTAGAGGGATGATGATGCTATTATTTGTACGCGGCTATAATAGCGCCCCATTATTGCACTAGAGAAAAAGACAAACCTAAACTAAATTTATTCCCTAGTATAATTATTTTGCTATCTGTTATATATGTATGTTTTCATACGTGATTCGGTTAGCCTGGGTTAGCCGAAGCAGCCGACAGCCGATGTAATTTTATACAACGTAACCTTCAGATTATTTTTTTAAGTAATATCGAAAAATATTTGGTTTTTCTTATATTTCCAATATTATTACAGTAAAACAATTGTACAATGTGAGAATTATTTTACAAAAAATATAAAATGAATTTACTTGTAATATCAACTGTAAGTTGTTTTTTGGAATATATTGTTCCAATTTTAATTAAGTATGTAAGTATCACAATATTCATACTTGAAACTGTTTGTCACATTTCATAAAATTAACATTTTAATTACAGGTCACATCCCGTTTGTACACAGTAACAAAATATGATATGGAACTACGTAAAGACTTGATGAACCTAAAACAAGAAATGGTTGGGATTTCAATAGTTGATGAATTTTCAAGATTTGCAAAACTTCAACGTAAATGCAATAAAATTGAGGGCATTTTAAAAGAAACAGGTATAACCATTACATGACAGCAATTGAATGAAAAAAAAAACCTTTAATTGACAATATTTTCATTTGTATAATTGTGATCACGCTAATTATAAATGAATTAATAAATAAAGTATTTTTAATGTTTCAACATGTTGCTCTTTATATTACTTTATTCATTGCTTTAAATAATAAAAAAGTAATGGGAACGTGGTCTTTAATCAGAACATTTACTTTATATGTTTTACATTACTATTGATTTCTTAAACTAATCTAACTAAAGTCCATAAAAAAACTGAATATCAAACCAATTATATAATTTGTTTTACAAAAAATTAACCAAAGAACGTTATTTTTCTTCCAGCAAACAAACGATTAACTTCTCAAATGAAGGTACAGTTGTTTGTAAGATATGGTTTCCACCTATTAAATGTAGGTATTTATTTTTTTTTCTATTTATCTTTTAAATAACTACGACATCCAATAATTCAGTAATTTTTAATTTTTTTTTAGGGTTTACTGCTACTGGTTTTGTCATATATTTACAGAAGTACACCAGTAATAGTATTTCCAAAAGGTATGCTATGGCCAATACACAATTTACTAAGTTGGCCATGCTATCAAGAAGATTCAATTTCTTTGATTATGTGGATTATAATTGCTAGATTAGTTGTATCTGCATGTAAAAAAATTGACATAACGTGATACTAATTATTTCCCATTAAATCGTTTGTGAAGATTGAAATAAAAGTTTTCTTTGGAAGGATTTCAGTGAACTGATACGCTCTCTCAAAGCATATTTACTAGAATAAACTTGGTTTTCAACTGCCAATAGATAAATGACACAGAACTTTGAAATTGTACATAAAATTACTTTCTTCAAAATAGGATATGCAAATAATTATACATATACTTGCTGTACATAGTGCAGTTTCTTAAATATTTAAAAATACCTCATTACGCTTAAGTCATTTTTTTAAATAAGGATAATAATGAATTTTTGGATATAATAGCAAAAAAGTGACTGTATTTCGTAAAAGCTTGATTAAAGTACATAATACATAATAGTGAAATATATTTGCATATAATTATTGATAAGTAATAATTTTATGTTTTAACAAAACATTCTTATATATGACAATTGATACATCTATATCATTCTATATAACGTAGCAAACAATGTCTTATTCACGTGTAGAGTATTCATGAAACATCTATTTTATAAAGCTTAAAAAAAAATCGATAAATTTCGTAGTTAATTCATTATCTTATGTAAATATTTACCTTACTGTTTAATTTAGTTTGTCTGTTACATCAGTTTTGTTTTTTTTTTCTTTTTTTTTTGTTAATGCGTTATAATTTGATATTGCGACACATATGATACCCAAATATTACACGTATAAATTGTAGTATAGGAAATTCTATAATGTAGAAACTGACATTACTCCGTTGCAACAAAATGAAAACTCAACTATTAGTCTTTTATTTTGCTACTGGACAAGAAACCAGAATGTTGTCCGTAACACATCTTTCGTAATAATTAATTGAGAGTCACAATTTTAGCAGCTTTGAGCACCAATATTGAATAATAATGTTCAAATTATTATAAAATATAGCACAAGATCATTATGGTTTACTTTATCACATTCGTATAAATATCGACCGAACATATTCTGTACATGACACATGTTACAAAACAGCAATAAAGGTGCAACTAAAAATAAGTCACAGATTTTATTTTCAAATGAAACATTGTAAATTAGAAAAAACGGACCCCCCCTCCTTTTAAAATGAAAATAGATATTGTTCATGAACCGAAACCACATAATGGACATATTTATAGCACTGTTATGAAACAATGAAATATTTAAAAGTAAGCAAATTAATGTTAAAGGATTAATGTAGCTATTCTTTTAAACGTTCAGTATATCAGCACATAAATGCAACAATGTCATGTAAAAACTTTGTTAACTTCAATGTTAGTTATGTTGAACTCAAAACATAGGGTACAAATACTTATCTATACTAATAGTCACGTTATGTGATTGTATAAAAAAATATTAAAGCAATAGCGAATAAAGTACTAAAATAATAAAGAATATTTCTGTTAAAGACGATAACATTTTGAAATTTCTATTTTTGTTTTGTTAATAGTTCTATTTTTTTTTAATCACAATCGTATATTTAATTTGAAGGTATATTATCATTTAAGTATACTCTCGCTCTTCTAGTTTCATTATAAATAGTATACAAAATTGTGATAATCGAACGCATGCAAGATTGTGCCATTATTCTTTATATTATGTCGTATGATCATACTACAAAGAATAATATAAAAATGAAAATTACTTGAATTTAAATAAGTTACATAATTACGATTATAGAAATATTTTGTCTTATCACTTCATCTAAGTACTAAACTTAGAAAATATATTTTTTTTTCTCGCTATATCAAACACCAAAAAGAAGACGAGTATTCATAATCAATAATGAAACGCAATGGAAATTAGAAGAGCAAGACTAATGAAATCTCCCTCTCCCCACAATTTTTTACTTTATTAGGCTATTTCGAAGCAGATCGGAAATTTATAAGTGGTTTGTTAGCTATTATTTTTTTTTTTTTTTCATAAATACTGCTTTGTATCACGTTACTATGAGAAATATCTAAGCAATTCAATACGAAATAAAGAAAAATTTGTAGTATACCAATTAAAATATTAAAAAGTGCAATATTTCTTTTTTTTTCTTTTTTTTTTTAAACAACTCTTGTAGTATGTTATACAATCACATAGTACAAATGCATCAACAAAAGAAGTACTTTATATGAATACATGATGAAATGTTTGTTGTCAGTGATACTCAACTGACTTATGTTTTAGCGATATCCATTGGTGATCCGCCAGTTGTATTTGTAGTCGCGTTAGCGATTGGTGGACCACCAGGACTTACAATGGTCGGTGGAATTGCAGGTTTAACAAATCTATCTGATGTGCGTCTATTCGATGGCGTTACCACGTGACCCTGCTTAGATAGGGCAAGACATTAGGAATAAATACATGTGTAAAATGTTTTTTTTATAATGTAATTCTTAAAATATACTAAAAATATACTTTAAAAATACTCAAAATACAACATAAATTTAAAACTGTCAGAAACATCGGATCGGAATCTACAAGAAAATAGTACAGACTCCTCTCGATTATCGTCTGGCTTGTCCTACACGATTATTGTCCAGGTGTTATCCCTACCACTAGGGGGGGGGGTGCAAATCTGTCAAGCGCATACTTTGTCGCCGAGGCTCGAATTTCGGGCAAAAAACAAATTTACGAGGGTCTTTTACGAAGAATTTCTCCTTATAAGATTATTGTCCCGGCACGGTCCCGAGTTCGGGACGATAATCGAGGAGTCTGTACTTCGATATTTTATTAGAATTGCAACTGACTTTATAAAAATTTCAATTGACAAATTAATTAGAAATAAAGCGCATATCTGAAATTCTTTTATTTTTTTTTTTAAACGAATTTACGTTTGAAAGATTGAGTTTAAAATGTTAAACAATTTCTTCTATTCTTTTAACTCCAATTAACTGGTGTCATTTAAACGATTGAATATATTAATTATGGTATATTATATAATAATTATGGTAAATGCAACTTACCGTAGAAGGCGGCGATGAACTGGCAAATGGAATTGCAGTGGGTTGACCACAAGCATAACATCGATTTGTGTTAAATCCTTCTCTGGTGGATGAACCTGTAAAGAATCGATGTTAATACCAATACTAAAATACGCATTTATCTAATATTTGGAAAAAATAAAAAGCATTACGATGTTTACCTGGACTTAATGGTCTAGAGGAACTAGGTGAAGGATTATACGGCACAGGGCTGGAAACAGTACGATTTCTTATATTTCCACCAGACATCACAATTTCATTATAATGCCGTTCTTCTTCCATTTCCAAACTAGTAAATAAATCAAGTTTAAATCCAAACTAAAATAGGCTGTACAATTTATAGAGTACAATTATAATTACCTGGATTCTGATTCTGAAAGATGTCTGCATAGAGCTTCACGACGTTCCACTTCCAACTGTAATTTTCTCTGAAGTCTTAAATTTTCTTCACGAATTTGTTTCTCTTCGTTCACATATCGTTGCATCTTCTCTGTGTCTAATGTAAATAATATGTGAACGTATTAAACAATTTTAGGTGATAATCAGAGATTAAAAGCAGTTAGAAATATCGGTTCCAGTTCTCAAAACAGTTATGAAGACCCGAAATGATGTTATAATTATTACGGGTAAAAAAGGTTCTGGCTTATACAGATTCCTATCTGTTATTGTAACGGTTCAACATGATGATTAGATCGGTTCTATGATTATATCTTCCAGTTTGGTTTTTTCTACACGAAGTATAAGAACGGATACTCACCTTCACGTGTCAGTTTGATTTATTCCAGATAGAAATGGTCGAAAGACTCAGAAACTTGAGAGTCTTAAGGATCGCTTTTTGTTTGTTCGTAATTTAATACGTTTCTTTATAACTGAGCCTTTTGACCATTAACAATTATAGCTAGACTGCGAATTTGTATGCAAAATAACATTTTATAAAGTAATTCAGAAAGATAAGAACAAAAACAGAAACTTCTTTCTTCCCTTAAACATCTTATTAAGTTAAAAATGAAGTAGAAAACTCGTTGCATCTAATGGAAGTTTCGTTTCTTATGGTATTTCAAAAAGCCCTGTAGGCTATAAATGCATAAAATCTGCTGTCTAGTTATAGCATAATTGTTTCAGTCAGAACCTTTATATTATATAACAGTTATTTTCGTTTCAACCCCTGATGGTAGTAATTATTAATTTTGAATTAAGTAAAAAATTCTGCAGTATTTATAATGCATACTAAATTATATCTCTCGCAAAAACTTCTTATTATTGAGGAATTTTAATAAATGTAGTATATCAGACGAAATGTAAAAGATAAATAAATATTTGCAACTTATTAGTACTTAAAAAAATTTAACTCGAATCTTTACATCCGTATTATAATACAAAAGAAATTCTTACGTTCTTGTTGTGAAATGAGCAATGTATGTCTCAGTCTGGCCACTTCGCTTCTTAATGTTTGAATATGTGTACTTAAACTAGTAGCAGTATCGCCGTTATTAATTTCTCGTGGAGAAGTGGGATCTGATATAGGCTGATCCAATTTTATCTGAAGCATTCTTTTTTCTGCTTCCAACTTGTCCATTCTTTTCCATAATTTATTTACTAATGCTTCTTGTTCTTGTTCCAGGGTGTTTTCGAGTTCAACTTTTTCTCTACGTAATTGCTCTAAATTACTTTGCTTTGCGAGTGTTTCAGCCTCGAGCTTTTCTATCTTTCTCATTAGTTTGTTGACAAGACATTCCTGTTCTTGTTCTAAAGTTTGTTCCAGACGACATTTTTCTTGACGCAATTGATTCAATTTTCTTGACAAATCATTTGTTAAACACTCCTCTTCCTGTTCATAATGATGCGCCAATGTTTCTTTTTCTTTCTTCAACGCTTGTATTTTTTTCAATAATGTATTACTTATAAATTCTTCTTCCTGTTCTGCTTTTGCTTGCTAGAATACAATTATAATCATATTACATAAGCAAATGAGAATTCTTTGAGTTTATATTTACAACAATTACAAAAAACAAAACCAACTTTCCAATTTGAAAAATGAATACTTTACAAACGCTAGTGTTAAACATTTACAGTATCAAAGGAATTACTTTTAAATTCAATAAAAATTCATTAATATTCCCTATTTAGAATTTAAAAAGAAGATTGTATATGTGAATAAGATGAACAGAAAATGTTTTTGTAATAGATTATACTAGTACTTTATATAATTATATTGTTGATTATGTAAATGTTACTTACATCATTGGTTATTTAAACAATTATAAATCCTTAACTAAATTTTTACATACTATTTATTAATGTTGTAGAAATTTGTAAACATATACTATTTCAATACGAAACTTTAATAAAAAAGAAAACAATTTCCTAAGAGAATCATTGGAAATAATGTGAAATTAATTTGTTTATACATTAAACAATGTTACATAATGAACCGTGTAATACATTTAAACTGACACATCAATAAATTATACCACACATATGTATTATTATATTGAATATAATTAGACACAACAAATTTTTGCATTTGCAAAGAAGATTAGTCAATTATTGCATAAAATCTGTCCACTAAATTCTATTTGACAAGTACATAGATTAAATTACTCTTTTTAAAACTGAATTTTTGTTTAATGTATATTTACTATGAAGCATAGTTATTGCGCCAGTCGAATGTGTAACAACAAAGATTACCCATATTGCATTCGATATTTGTTAAATGTCTTGTGCTTTTGTATTAGTTTCTCTTTAAGTAATAACTTTTTATAGATTCTCTATACAGTAACTTTAAAAAAAATATGAAAAATGAATCGAACATTATAGTGGATAGTTTTATGTCAGATGTACTTCTTTTGGTATTGAATACTATTTTCTCATTTATTGATAAAAATAATGAAACATACAAATATAGGAATGTTGAAATGCCTCGTATAAAATGAAACATGTGAAATCAGTTATTAAATTGATATCTTACGGATTTAGTTGGCAAAAACACACGGACAACTTACTATAATGACAGAAGCTTGACGAAGACCACGATTCTCCTCTTGTAACGCCTTTACTCTCAATTTATACGTTTCCAATTCGACTTTGAGAACACGGTTATGCTGTTGCAATGATTCGATTCTTTTTTGAAGTTGTTCTCTGGTTACGGGGGACGGTGGCATCATAATTGGTCCACCGTCGATCGAGCTGGAGTCGCTTTCAGATGCGCTATCACGGTCAGCCATTTTTCTCAGACAAGAATTTCTTTTAAAAGAAACCTGTTATTCCGTCCTTTTCATCGCACGTTCGAATAAAATCAGGTGGTATGTTTTTCCCTCGAGGCGTGAGTGTACGGTTTTTCGTTAGAACTTCATTACTTCGTGAGAAAAAACCGTAATATCATAGCATACTGCCGCACAACATGTGCTCTACCACAGAACGAATCAGCTGTTTGATTGCCACGATACACCCGAAAAGAAGATGTCAAAGTATATGTTAGAACCGCAGTTTCCTAGATTTTAAATGGCCTCCCGTTACTTTATATTTTTAATAAAAATGCATCTGTAATAAATAATGATAGGAATTAAAAATGTTTGAATGATTTGGAACTGCATAATTTTATAATAAACCTTATATGTTACGATTAATATAAATTTGTATAGAATATGTAATTTATAAAAGCAGGAATTAAATAAAAATTAATTTCCTTTATCAATGGATTTATCGTGTTACATATGGATCAATTGAAATTTTATTAAATTTCATTATTTCATTGAATTTTAGAAATTTACAATAGGATGGCAACTTTCTCCCTAGACTACTGGCATGCTGCTCTAGAAACCTTAATGCAGTGATGTCCAATTTGTCCAGCTGACGGACGATGGTGGGGGATTTTAGCCAGCTTATAGTTGCTGTTAGCTCATGTTAAGCTGTAAAGAGGCAATTGAGGTGAACTGAAGCAAACTTGGGCAAACTGGACTGAACTGGACGGCATTGTCATTGTTTTAAGGAATCCTTTGAGATTGTAATTCGATTGAAATCTGTGTTTGTAAAAGGTTATCCTTGGCCTGTAATATCGTATTCATTTGTATACGATAAATTAGAAAAAGCGAACATGGATGCGGATTTTGAAGAACTTTCACATGACACGGAACTTATTGCAAAAATGCAACAATTTCACAATGCAACGTTAAAAATTGAAGACACGATTAAACTTGCTACTAATACGGAAACGTATGAGAAACTTTCTAATCCTGATAAAATTAAATATAATTTGTTGATGTCTTACAGTCTGAACAGTATGTTTTGGATGTATTTACGTGCAGAAGGTAAGAACGTAATCTAAAATTTAGCCTGCAAATGTTTACACATTTATAATATATACATATATATATAACTCAGCATAGTAAAAAAATGTAATAATGCTTAATGAGTTTTTTCTCTGATTTAGAACCAGATAGAACAATTATATTTCTATTTGATTCCATTTTCGATAAATTTGTTCATAAATATTTATATTTGTATAAACATTGGCAGTTATTTTTATATATAAATTATATTAATTATCATTTAAATGTCTGTTGATTATACTTAACTATTAGGAATTGATCCACTAAAGCATAGTATAAAATCAGAAAATGTTCGTTTAAAGAAGACTATGACACGTGCAAAACAGATTGAAGAGAGGAATACCCTTATGCCGCGTGTAAACAAAGATGCAGCACAAAGATTTGTTAGAAATGGATTATGGGATGTGAGGAATAGAAAACGAAAACACGATGAAGTTGAAGATAAAAATGAATCTAACTCTACTAAAACTTGATTTAAACAATGCACAACCTTTTTAAAATATTGTGTCTGTACATACATGGTTGTATATGTATCAGTGTAGACACACTTAAGAAAAAATTATATAAGAAATTGTTTTTTTATTAACAGATTTGAAAAATTGGCAATAAACTCTTGCCAGAAGATAGTTATTTGAAAATTGAAGCCAATAAATTGCAAACTATTATTTTTTATTATTTTTCTGTATTTGATTTATATTCTTAAACAACAAGATGTTAAAATACCCCTAATATTAGTAGGTTACTATATAATTTGGAATATGTATCTTTTTCCTGCTAGGACACTTTTTACATTTGTTTACTTTTGCTCTGTAACCTTCCATGATTACAGTTCTTCAAAACAACAGTTACCATAAACGTAAAACATACGAAAATCATATTCTTAATCATTATAATAAGAGTTTCTTGCAACATATTTATCTACTTTGAATAAAACAATGGATACTAAATATCAAGCAATTATAACAAAAAAAAGTGTGAAGAAAATTTCATCGTGTTCATCTTTGCAAAGTACTCAGGCTGTCTGTGGGATACAAAATATTCCTTGTTCATCTAAATCTGCTCAGATGGATCAGTAAGTTTCATTATATATGTGCAGTTTATAAAAAGTCTAAGTTTCGTTTTAATCAGATAAGTGTTTCTTATGATACAGAATCTGAAACAATTTCCTATGTAAGTAAACTATATTTTTAAACCCAAAATTTTATTATAGGATGAACAAATGGTTTCAAAATTTAAGGATACAAGAACATAGAGATTATAATGGAGAACAGGATGAATACCTTGCTGGATATATTAACAGTGTTATTGAAACAATTAATACAGTACTTGTAAAACCATTTTCCTCAGATGTTCTTTTATACTTTGGTACTCCATTGTTTTTAAATTGTATGAATTTTAAAAATTCTAAAACAAGATGTGTATTTCTGGGCTATATAGATGATATATTCGGATCTGTTGGGGAACCTATGTATTCCATAACTGTGAAATGTGATCCAAGAAACGTGTTGAATATTAATGCTAAAGTATATTATCTTCCAAACAATCCAAGGACCTTACATATGTATGTTGAACATACAGTGGATGAAGTATCTAATAAAGAAAAATACAGCATTAGAACAAGAAATTTCTAAAAAATGTGTAAAACAATTTGTATTTTTAAAACTCTTATTTTTATCATCATTTTATTTATGAATAATGTTGCAATTTTTTAATTCTATTCCTAAAAATTATTATATCAACATGTAATATTTTGATTGTTTATACAAAATAAATGGTTACCTTCTACAAAAATGTATTATTGATTTGTATCATTTCTACCTGTTTGCTCTTACTCATTAGATTACAGATTTTATACAGTTTGCGTATGTCCAATTGTTTAGAACTTAGTATAGTAAAAAATTTAATGAAATTTTTACTTCAGTTATAACTCAAAACAATATTTAATAGAGTAAAAAAATCATATTTGATTCCAATTTGTAGAAATTGGTCCATAAAAATCTATGTGTGCAGAAACAACTACAGTCAATTGGAACAAATGCATAAATATCAGTAAGAAAAATGTTATAAATCAATAAAATACGAATTTAATGTTAATACATATTGTATTGTAGAATAGTGATGTATATATTTTACTGTTTACAATTTGTTAATACTCTAATATTTAAAAGTACACAAATTCTGTTAAAGTGTATAAATATATTTCGACAATTAAAATTTAAAAAACGGAAACATTTCGAAAATCTAATTTCAAAGTTAAGAATTTATGACATTTTTTTAACGTATGACAATTCTTCAAATAGAAAGAGAAAAAAGTGAAAAATTTCATTACGTTAAAATATAATTAATTTTTTATATCGTAACAATACTACATTGTATATTTTACGAAAATATATATAATTATGTGCATATTTTGCGGGATTTTATAAAACGAATAATCTTAAAATATTGTCAAATCAGCATATAAATAGTTATATTACGCTGACTCAGGAACGAATACATATGTATATTGTGGTTATTATAACTAGTGTGCCGTCTATTGAAGTGCTAGTATCTAATATCTAAATAGGTACATAGTATATCGTCTGTGATACGCGATACGTTAGTATCATATGCACATATTCCACATCCCACATTGTGCCACATTGTCTCGTGGGCACTCGTGGGAGTAGGTTGTGACAGGATATAACATTTATGAAAGTTTTCAATAACTTTTTTATTAATGACGACCGTTCAAAAACGTATATGTATTTACCGTGACATATACAGAATATGTTTTTTGATGTTCAAAAGATAATTATATCTGTCGTTAAACACAAGATGTATTAAGTTTTGATCTCATCCGTTTTGTTGCCACATATGCAAAAGTGTGTGTATATACATTGTACGAGGCCAAAGTTTAGACAATTATGTCAAACGAAATTATTGAAATTCCGAATAAACGAATAATGACGGTATGTATCATGAAAAATTATTTTCTATGGACACTTTATATAAACAATTTCATTTGAATATTGTTCAATTATGTTAAATATTTTAAGGTGACATGTCATTTTAAATGCATGACACAGGTGTAGAGTATATTATTTCCAGAGAATATATCATGAATTTGAATTACCTTGTATTTTTTGTTCGAAACATATGCTGTACAATATTCTTATTTAAATTTATGACTGAATAATGCATCGTAATTTTCTTATGTAAATGTATTACGTTCGATTTGTACGAAAAAATATAGAAAATGTGAATGCTGTTTTCTCAATTGGAACAAATTGATACCTAAATGTCATTTCATCTATATTACTGATTATCTTAAAGTTTACATAAACTATAGAAAATATTTCAACTAACATACTATTTATTTGTTAAAGAGTTCAATAATAGCCCAATATTCTTTGTGATAATTATTTTCTTTTAATTATCTTATACATAAAGATATTAATTTACCTATTTCTTGTCTATCTTATTAACAGATTTTTAAAAATTATAATAATGTTATAACACACAACAAAACTTTTCTTTAGACATGTACCAATGTGTCAGAGCAGGCACATCATGTATCAAGAGCAAAACGTGGACAAGCTGTCGGAAGTGTTAGAGGCTTTCGAGGGTGTACAGTTTGGTTAACAGGTCTTTCTGGAGCAGGAAAAACTTCTATAGCTTTTCAAGTCGAAGCTATTTTAGTTAATCATGGAATTGCAGCTTATGGACTTGATGGAGATAATGTAAGAAGTGGTTTAAACTGCAACCTTGGTTTCAGCAAAGAAGATAGGAAAGAAAATATAAGGAGAGTCGCAGAAGTAGCTAAATTATTTGCCGATAGCGGTCAAGTTTGTTTATGTAGTTTTGTATCACCATTTGAGGAAGACAGACAAATGGCACGACAAATTCATAAAATGTCAGATCTTCCATTTTTCGAGATTTTTGTAGATACACCTCTTAATGTGTGCGAAGCTAGGGACACAAAAGGATTGTACAAGAAAGCACGTCAAGGGGCTATTAAAGGCTTTACTGGAATAGATCAAATGTACGAGAGGCCATTAAATCCCGATTTAATAGTAACCACTGAAAACTGTACCCCAGAAGAATCAGCTGCGACCGTTATTGATCTTCTGGAGAAACAGTGTATTATTCCAATACTTCAAAAGTCCACAGTATCAATACGGGAGTTGTTCGTTCCAGACTCACGAATATCTTCTGTCAAAGAAGAAGCTTCTATGCTTCAAAGTTTAGAGATTAGTGAAATAGATGTACAATGGATCCAAGTTTTAGCAGAAGGTTGGGCCGCACCTCTCACAGGTTTTATGAGAGAAGATCAATACCTTCAGGTATACACAAAATAGGGGTTCAAAATATTTGTTAATTATGTATAAAAGTATTATAGAAAACCTAAAATAGTACTATGACTATAAGTATGAACATACTAAAATAATATTTTCAGGCTCAACATTTGAAATGTCTTGTTGAGGGTGATAAGGAAATTAATCAATCCATTCCAATAGTTCTTGCAATAAATACAGAGGACAAGGAACGTTTGGATGGGCTTTCAGCGTTTACATTGAAATATAAGAATAAGGCTCTTGGAATATTACGCAGGCCGGAGTTTTATATTCACAGAAAAGAAGAGAGATGTGGATGGCAATTTGGTACTAACAATTTAGGCCACCCGTATGTAAAAATGATTTATGAATCTGGAGATTGGTTGGTGGGCGGTGACATAGAGGTTCTTAGAAGAATTAGGTGGCACGATGGTTTGGATAAATATAGACTCACGCCAAATGAAATCCGGGCGAAATGTAAAAAAATGAAAGCTGACGCTGTGTTTGCATTTCAACTTAGAAATCCTATACATAATGGTCATGCGTTGTTAATGCAAGTACGTTGAATTACATTTTTATTGTTATGCGTATATTTTCATGATAATGCATTTCTACGTATACTCCAATTTTCAACTTGTAGGACACGAAAAAACGCTTATTAGAAGAAAGAGGATTTAAGAATCCTGTATTACTTTTACATCCGCTAGGTGGATGGACTAAGAACGATGATGTACCATTACATACAAGAATTCTTCAGCACGAAGCTGTACTTAGGGAAGGTGTATTAGACGCGAAATCTACGTTATTAGCAATTTTTCCAAGTCCAATGATGTATGCTGGACCAGTTGAGGTAAATTTTCTGATTGGTCGGGGTTTTTCGTTGATATCTCGTTAACAAAGCCTCGTATAGCATTTTTGCGAAGGAAAAACTTCTTCCAAATCGCCTCACGAGTGTCCCATTTCAGGGACCTGCAACATTTTTGTTACACCCTGTATAATCAAATTATATGTCGTTATTGTTTCTCTGTTTGGTCCGGTTTGTTCCGTATTAGGTACAGTGGCATGCAAAGGCCAGAATGAATGCAGGAGCTAACTTCTACATTGTTGGACGAGATCCAGCTGGGATACCACATCCTGATAAGAGTTTAGTTCCTGATGGGAATCTATATGATCCGACTCATGGAGCTCGAGTTCTTTCAATAGCCCGAGGTTTACAAAGTCTAGAAATTATACCGTTTAAAGTTGCGGCATATGATAAGAAACACAGAAGAATGTCTTTCTTTGATTCAGCACGGAAGGAAGACTTTGAGTTTATATCAGGAACAAAAATGCGTGGTATGTTTTTTGTACGTGTATACAGATACAGAGTGCTACTGAATAATATGTACCAGCGGGTACAAGGTGATTCCTTATGAAAAAATAAGAACAAAATATGTAAGAAAATTTTTTCATTTAAGACTTAGTTTTCAAGAAAATCGACTTTGAAAATTAATCCGTGTATTTACCACAGTAGTAAGTAGAAACGGAATGCAATGAACAGACGCGCCAGTCCAGTTCTATTCAACAATTTTCTCGAAAACTAAGCCTTAAATGAAAAAATTTTCTTTCATATTTTGTTCTTATCACTTCGTACCCGCTTGTACATGTTATTCGGCCGCACCCTGTATATATCAGTGGCATAATCTATATATTTCGCAAACTTTCAGAATCTAATCTTAATATTTCATATTAATAACATTTATTGTACTTATAGAAAATATGTTTTCTTATTTTGTAACGTTTTTTTCCAGGCTTAGCAAAAGCAGGTGAAAATCCACCTGACGGATTTATGTCGCCTAAAGCGTGGCTTGTTCTAGCAAAATACTATCGAAATTTAGAAAAGTAAAAAACTATTAAAAGAATATTGAACTAATAGTAACCACTTAAATGAAAATATTGAATAGAATAAAATAAATTTTACAACTGTTATAGGATAATAACCACGAAACTATTTTAAACTGATGCAATTTTAATATTGCCACACTCTTGTATATTTGTACATTTTTCTTGTACAGCACAGTGATTTCGATATTTATCTTTCTATTAGATAATGTATCTTTACACTCATTGTACAATGTATCTGTTAATTTTATTTTGTATAAATACAAAATCTAACTGTATTTTACATATACATTTTATATGAACATAAATAATAGCAACACAGAATTTAATAATGCGTATACATTTAAAGAAAATGTATATTTTCTTAATATACATAAATCACGTATGACTTTCATATGTAACCAATCAGCTTTAATATGTATAGTAAAGCATAATAATACTTTATAAAGTATCAAATAGAAAATGACATTCCAATTTCTTTTTATTGCCACAATAAAATACAGATATGTTTACAGATGAAAAAATGTAATAATATGAGAAAATAAATATAAATTAAAATGTTAAATTGCTTTGCAATAGAAAGAAAACTAAGATGTTAAAATGTGTAACTTATCGTAATGTGTTATAAATGGAAAATGTTCCTGTCATTTAAAATTTACATAATTATACAATATTCTATGAATAAATTGAATATGTGATAAGTTCACGAATGAAATATATTGTAAAAATTTTGAATTGTATAGTAATGAATTTGCAAATGATAACTAATTTTATAATAAGAATAGTATACATATACTTTTTTAAATTATTATTAACAGAAATATTTCTATTCCACTGTTATATAAAGAAATATTATACAGCAATGCAAACAATAAAAGTTATATGTATGTGATGTTTGAATTTGCATTTGCATACTCATTTTGTAATATATAAAATTCTGTAATGTATCTTTAATGTAGAAAGTTCAAAGTAAACTGTATGTTATATGAACAATATATTACATAAAAAACACTGAAAATACCAAAACTGTATTGGATATTTTTCACTTAGTTTACTATAATTTACAACTATAAAATGCATAATCTCTACAGCAGACAGAAACATAAATATTGACCATGCTTTAGCCACATATTAAACGAAAAATACTCATTAAAGAAACGAAAGTAATTACCTAATTTTAAAAAATGAACAATATATTTTGTAAGTAGACACATGGTTATGAATAATGTCAATTTTTATTAATGCCATGAAACTTATGTATGCATTATCAAGTAAAATATTTCTTCATTCTTCATAGATTTGTACAAAATACTTTATAATTGTAGTATAGTTACTTTTATTTATCATTTACGACTAAACGAAAATGTTGTATTGAAAAGCATTATTAAGATAAAACATTTCTACCATTATTTTTACAATCTTTCACTTTGTCTTAATATGTATTTTAATACGACATAATTATTAAAAAAAACTTCTGCTTTAATAGCAGAATACCATCTCGACACATTTTGGGTACATATTTAATATCCTTAGTAATTGAAACCTACGTATAGACGAAGGAAATATACTTTTTAGAATATCTGCAATTTCAGTTATAGGAATGTGACTTAGTCCCTACTTATTTACCCCGATTAAAAACTGTGTTTAAGCTTTAATTACCACAATAAAAGTTCTTTTTACAAGGAATATCGCAAATAAAAAATGCGATATTAAATTCAATTATTATACATAATTGATGCTGTGGCTAAATTAACCTCAGTGTTGGTGTCAGACAAATCAGGCAAGGACAACATAACTGGGATCACTTGTATTTTTCCTGAATCATCTTCTTGTTGCAAATGAACCACAGCACCTGACTGTAGTATTTCATTTGTCATGATTTCATCTCCCATTATTTCTGCGGATTCGATATTATCTGCAGTCACTTCTTCCGTATAAACAGTAGTATCTTCCATATTCATTATAACTTCGGCTGCATCTGAAGCTTCTCTGGACGTCTCTTCGTACTCCTAACACAAGACGACAGGAATAAATTAAGAAGAAAAGAATTATTGCAAAACAGTACTGAACTGTATTTACCTGTTCGTACACTTGTTCGTATTCTTCTGTTATTTCTTGTTCTTCAAACTTAACTATCTCTTCTTCTTTAAAATGTTGATCCGACTGTTCTTCGTATTCTCCCTCGTGACTTTGAGGTTCTGTACTAGTTAAGCCTTCTTGCTCCTGATCAGAACAGGAAGAATCTTCTTGGACTTTAGGTTTAATATTTCGACCTGGCACTGTTCTTTTGAAACCTGACCCTCCTAAACTTTCGTGTCGTCTTTCATGTTTGTTCTTATCACCTAAGTATTTAAAACGTTGTCTACATACACTGCAAGAGTATGGTCGTTCGTTCGTATGTGTTCTTTCATGACAAACAAGAGCACTGACTTGCTTACATCTCCATGGACAGTATCTACACTGTAAAGGCCTCTCATCACTATGTCTATTCTGATGATGTTTAATCAATTGTATCTTTGTTTTTAAATTAAATCCACAAATTTCACAGGTGTATGGCCTTTCCTCGGAATGAGATATCATATGTGTTTTTAATCTAAGCTGATTCACAAATCTCTTCGGACAATGCGGACAGGGTAATGTTCCTTCTAATCTGTTATGCGTCACCATCATATGGTGTCTTAATCTAACCTCAGAAGTAAATGTCAGCTCGCAGTCCAAACACTTCATGGGATCTTTCTCCATGTGAGTGTTTTTAATGTGCGTTCTCAGAATCATTTCTGTTTTGAATGTCTTATTACAATGGTAACACGACACTCTTTTCTTGTCTGGCGTACCATCTACATCCTCTTTCACCATACCAGGAAGGGATTCGTTGTGTATATGAGACATATGCCATTCTAATGATCTGGTCGAAATCATCGATCTGTTACATATATGACACGTATACTGCCTGCCATCCTTATGAACTCGATTTCTATGTATAACAAGCGTCGAATGATTCGGAAACTTTTCGCCGCAGACTTGACACGAACATTCTTTCAATCCTCTGCTGTCAGTTTTTTCGTGAACTCTCATGTGCAATCTTAAGCCGTCACGTCTGTTGAAACCAACGCCACACGTGTCGCACCGATACTGACGTTGATCTTCGTGAATTCGTACATGTTGTTTCAAAGTTGAACTATTTTTAAACATTTTGTCACAGTGCGGACACTGAATGGTGTATGCCTTATGTGTATGCATGTGCTTCGAAAGACTATAAAATGGCACCAACTTGTGACAAACTGGACACTCTCGTTTATTGCCCACTGGTTGGTGTTTGCGTATCCTGTGATGTCGAAGACTTGCAGGATTCTTAAAATCCGCTCCACAATCTTCACACAAATAGGCTCTTAAGGTTGTGTGCACAGATTTCAGATGGAAACTAAGTTTCTGCTTGAAAGCGAATTTCTTAGGACACTTCGGGCATTCAAATATTTTTTCCCAACTCATGTGTTGTGTTTTCACGTGTTGATCTAATGTTCCTTGATGTTTAAATTTTTCACCACATACATCGCACAATTGCCCATACATAGTGTCGCAATGCTTCTGTTCGTGTTGCCGTTTTTTCCCCTTTGAATCTAATATCGTGTCGCAATATTTACACAATAATTTTTTTATACAGACCACATTGTGATTTCGTTTCGCTTTGTTTGTCGGAAACTCTTCCGAACAGTCCTCGCAAAAATGCATAATTTTATAATCGTGTATTTTCAAATGTTCCTCAAGTACGTCCTTAGAAGCAAATGTTTCTGGACAGTAATCGCATTCCAAGTAATGCTCTTCTGGAATATAATCGGCTGGTTGACTTTCATCTATTAAATCAGGCAAACTGTTTTTAAGCACAGCATTATTCCTATCCTCGTAAAGTGATATTATATCTTCATCTTTCAGCCTTGTAATGACAATTTTACGTTGTTTCAGGTAATCTTGAAAGTCTTGTAAATTTTTTTCTTTTTCCCCTAGAATTCTTGCTAACTTTTCAATATTTCCTTCTGTATACGATTCATCAAGTTCTTTTTGAAGAGACTCTTTCTTCTTCTTAGCTTCTTCCCACTTCAACTTCAGTTTTGCTAAACGCGCTAAATATTCTTCGGTATTTACATAAGTTTTTTCATTAAGCGGCTTTTCTTTTACAGGTTCTGCAGTTTCCGGAGTGTCATTTTCAATTTTTACAGTACTCACATTGGTATCATTATTATCCTTTTCAATTTGTATACTTACAATTGTTTCACTCTCTGCTGGGATAGAAGGCTTTTGATTCTCTGGAGTTGTTTCATTACGCTTCACGAAACGGGTTTGAGTTTCTTCGAATTTTAGAGGAAGCGAAATAGCATGACCTCCTAGTACCTTCTCTCGTTTCTTCTTGTACTCTTCTATTTGTTCTTCGATAATTTGCTCTCTTATTTCAGACTTTTTTGTCCGTTCTGGAAATAGATCCTTTTCTTTTGTAACTAATGTTTCATACCGCTTCAAGATTTTCTCCATGGGTTTGATATCAAAGCCTTTCTTTACCAAAAATTTATCTTCTTTTTTCAGTTCTAACGGCTTGTCCATTTTCTTCACTTTAACTAATAACAGTTCGTTTGGTTTAGAACCCTTAACAGTTACATACATGATACCATCTTCCTGTTTACTATTAATGTTCAAAGGATTGTGTAAATCTATTTTTTGTACTTTACCATCTTTATGACTCCCATTTTTGTCAGGGATATTAGACTGACAAGTATTCTCATCTGTTTCTTCGGTAGTTTCTTTCTTTGTTTGTAATAAAAGTCTTCGTTTTAATATGTTCGGTTGTTTCAAAGATTCTTTTGTACTGTCACTGTTACACATAGATTCAGATTTAGAAATGCTGTATGGTTCAGTAGTACAATTACCATTGTCTGTACTCTCTACTTTGATATATGCATTTAGCGCTGTATCATATTTGTACGTTGTTTGATTCAACTCTGTATTTCTCTTATCTGAAACTGAATTATTATCGCAAACAAGAACTGGCTGTAAACAGTGCTTGTCAGTACTTTCCTTTTGCTGAATATGTCTTCTTTTTGCACTTGGCATTTCTACATCTATATCATCATCAGACTCGGCAACATCAGAACTATCAGGTTGAAAAGGTGGATCATCCGGATCGAACTCTTCTATAGATTCATTGTCATCGCTATGTTGAACCGTTATATCTTCAAAAATTTCTATTTTAATATTATTATCTCTTTCTTCAACAATATCCATGGTATCAACTTTCGCCGACCACTTTTGATCTTCTTTCATCAAAGAAGTTGATGTCAATTTTTGCAGAGGCATTTGTTCATTGTGTTTTTTACTAGTTGATGGATCAATCTTACTGCGTTCTTCACATTTTTCTATCTGCACTTCTGAATTTTCAACTCTTGCTACAGACTGCACCTTATTTGTTTCTGTACTTTTTGTTTCTATGCTTCTTGTTTCTGTACTTTTTATTTCTGTATTTTTTGTTGCTGTATCTGTCAGAGAAATGTGAATAGATTTTAATTTAACTTCTGCTTTTTTAATTTGCATAAAAAACTTATAGCTCATTTTTAAGTCACAGATACAGTCCATGCACATTTGAGTTGATAAGCTATCATACGGATTTATTTCTTCTAAGTGCTTAATTTGTTGACTCAATCTCATTTGAATGCCTTTTTCACTAAAAATATCAACCAGGGGAAGCTTCAAACCTGCACAGGTCCTGCAGTACTTCTTTAATTCCTGTTTCATTTGCTCTGATATCACCAACTTCTTTTGTGCAGATATTTTATTGTGCAAAGAAATTTTTGTCAACTCGTTCAAGCTGTTAGCATCGTGAGCCAATAATTTTACACGTGGTGTTATTTTTTTCAATTCATTTATATCTTTAATTTGACCGAATGTTTCTTTGCTCGATACAGACACCGATTTATTCGGTTTACACAATGCTTTTGTATCATTGTCGGATACATTTGGAGTAGTATCCTTAACATGTTGAAAAGTATCTAATTTTACTTCGCTATAGTTATGATCTCTGTTATTTACTTCAATGTGCTGCATTTTTAATCCAGTAACTTAAATTTTTCGCATTGTATTTTCAACTTATAAAATATTCTACTTTCTAGTCCTAAATAACAAAAAAACAATAACATTAAACATAATAATTATCTGTAAATATGACATAAAAAATCAAAATAAAGAATTGACGTGAGAAACTAACGTGTTTCATTTTTTGACTTTTTTTTAAAGTGTTATCAATATTTGTAGATCACTGTTTAGAAATATAAATTTGCATATACATTGATGGTCTAATAATGAATAATATCTAATTTACCTTATCATTCAATGAGAAAGAAAATCACTGCTTTCTATGTTGGTTGTGCACGTTGTATTTACAATGGTTCCTAGCTTTTGTAACGCTTACTTCTACACCAAATTATTATATGTATTACATTCCATCAGTCCACGTTCAATAATTCACGCAAAACTGATAGAAATCATCAGTTTAAGTGTCTTTAATATTACACTATCCTTACTGTATCACATTCAAAGTCGTTACTTCAGTATCACCGATATCTTCAAGCTTCTCGAGTTTACGTTTTCAATCGTACAATAAGAAGTATCTTTGATTTCTTCCGTCAAAAACGATTGAAACTTTTTATTTTCTTTATAATACAAACATAATATTACGTTCTCGTAAACGCAGGTATTCATTTTTCATTCGAGATTGAGGTTAAGTAGATTTAATTGAGAGCTTCGTACGATTTCGCTCTCGAGCTCGATGTAAACGTGATCGGTGCGTGTTGCGGCAGTTTTTAAACTCGTTAATTATACCTTGCGATACTCATTATCGGGACGAGTAATAACATTATTCAAAAGTTTTTCCAAACTCTGGCTAACATAATTTCTTCCTAACGATATCCAGATGGCGCGTTCCAATGGCGCCTGTGGCGTATGTTATTTTCGACCTACGCAACGGGCATTCTACAATTCCGAAATTCATGACTAGCTTTCAATAGCCATAGAATATTTTTCGTACACGGTACTCCGTAACTGCGATTGTATTGTAAAGATCCGTCATAGATTACGATCCGAGAGATGTATCTTTGGGTAACGCAAATCAATTAAATCCTTACGCACTTCGAAGTGGGAATTCGTGCCACGTTCAACTGTCGTCTACTGAAATTCCTTTACCGAAGCGGTGACGTTGCTTTCTATTCGTAATGGCCGCGATCGTATTTCTAGAATCGAACGTAGTAGCGAATATTTGGAAAATATTTAATTTACTAACTACAATTTGTTTGGTGTTTCAAAATAAAATGCAATTAGGCATTTATAACAAGCAAGTAAAATACACTTTACGTTTATATTTATATAAATATTTTTTTTACATTGCTCCAGCTCAAATGCGCATGTGCACATATGGATGATTGTGTGCACGCAACCGCGAAAATTTCGATTGAAACTGAACAGAGTAAAAGCTTACAGCTGTACAGTTTCGAATCTAGTCTATTATCTTTTTAAATATTAACAGAGAAAATCGGCGCGTAACACGAATCGTGCAGGCCCCGTACAAATAATTTATCTTGTATTAATGAAATATTACGTTTTCTGAAATCTACTCCTATAGATCATTTTTACATACTATACTTATGAGGAATAAAACTTTCATTAATAAATGAGTCGAATTGTAAAATGTGTAAATTGTAAAAGTCTAATTTCTTATATATGTTAAAAATATTCATACCTTTAACTTTATAATTTAATTCATCGTATGATCTATTTTAAATTTTTAATACTTCAACAGTTAACTATGGAACAATAAAAATTTCTTTATATATAGAAGGCACAATTATTACTCCTATATTAATTTATCTCTTCCTATTTTAAAATCTTCTGTGTTTATATATTTATTTCAATACATATATTCATTAAAACCTACAAGATTTTAAACATATCAGCAAACACAATTTCATTTTTCATAAACTCCTTTATTTATAAAGCATGACATATATTTAAACAATAAGGGTATTTTATCACAAGAGCAGATTAACTTTATTTCATTATTTTTACATATGTTGCTATTTAAGAAAATCACAAACTTTTGGACAATGAGATCTTCATTTAATAAAAATATAAGGAACTGTACAGTAAATAGAAAAAATTTGTTAGACGAAACTAAAATTTTGTATGTATAATTCGACCCCACATTTACCCAAAAATAGTGATTTTTTTTTGTTATTGAGAGTATATTCTTCAAAAATAGTAGTATTTACTGAAAAAATATACCTTTTTAGGTTCAACCTTTTTAAAAATATACATTATATCTGCATACTGTAAAATACTTCGGAATACAAATAACATTTTTTGCTTTCTTATCAATGATAATTACAGATCACGTTTACATTTTTCTTGAAGGTTTATATAACACCAACTGTAAATGTAGTCGTAACTTACATTTAATGATATGAATTGATCAATTCATCATGCACTGTATGAAGAATTATATGGATGAAGTAGTTTGAAAACAGAACTATTTCAGAACACTGAACATTTGCTGGTTTCTTAATTATTCTTTGATAATACCGTTCGTTCCTTTTTTTCCCCTTTTTTTTAAAAAAACAGTAATACCCTTATTTGAAGATACAATGGGTTTTCTTCACTTTATAATGGTCTTCCAAAATTTACTTTGTGCTCAAGTAACATATTATTTTCTGGAGGCAACGATAGACATGCTCTTAAGATATTTTCAATCGCAGCCCGTTGTCGGGATAATGCATTTATCACGGGGGTTCCCCGAGGCACTAATGGTGCTTTGCAAAGATACGATAATATAGAGAGTACACTGCGGAATTCGGTAAATTCATCATCTGAATCCGCTATTTTGAAGGTAATGCGTGAACATAATTCTGCCAATAGAACCAAGTCTAAAATGATTGGACTAGCGAGTAAAGAATCCTCGCATGTATTGTGTACAACGATCGTGTTGTGTCCTCCAAGCAATATTTCTGACGTGTATTCATCCATTGCCCGTTTACTATCACCTAATTGGAGATTTTATAGATTTTAATATCTTTAAGACAGCGGATTCCATCTATGATTTTGGGATTTTATACATTTTTGTATACATACCAACATACGGAACATATTTGATAACAACGCAATGATCTGGCTTCTCTCCGGGTTGGTAAAGGATGTTATTCGATTGCACCATGTCATCGACCACGTTACTTTTGGATATCTAAATAATACATTACATTAAAATGTTGGCATTATCAATGCAAAAATCAATTTACACAGCAGTAATTCTGATTTCAGTTACCTCCTTTGACCTAAATTGCTGTGGAGCGGATAAATTGTATCCATCATTGTTTCCAAGGTGATTGTAACTGACAATTGATACTGGTTTAATACCAGCTGAGACTAGAAAATCTACAAGTACGGACTTTAATTTTGTTTGTCCAGACTTAAAATCATCACCGCTGATAAATGTTTTGTGTTTTTCAGCTAATTCTATAGCTCCTGGTACAAAAGTATTTTGAGGAGACCCATTTATGTATGTACACTAAAAAAAAGGTATATATACATTAACACATAATACTGTTTAAATCAAAGCTACGTACTGTGGTCTTCAGATTGACTCGCTTCAGTGTCCCCACCAATAGTTTTCCCGTCACAACTCGAGCGAGCCAATCCGAGGATCATAATAGGTAGACGGGATGTTCAAGCCGCTACTGCTTGTGAGCAATGAATTACACAGCTCTGGTTTAAATAGTGGATTTTACTAAAGTAGTAAAGTACTAAAATGTGGTATTAAAATTATATTGCTTACACCCTCCAAAGCTGTTGCAACAGCGAACACTGTGCTCGGACTAACTTCTGAATGGTTTTCCTTGATAGCCTTCAGTAAGTTTTCAGCTGTATCATTTACACCTGGTATTATTTCAGAAAACCTTTCGGTATTAGCAGTCCATAATACAATCACTTGATCCAGGTTCTTTGAATTTTTAAATTCTGCGATATCTTTTCTAATCAAATCTAAATGCTCATGTTTTGTACCAGACATAATATTATTTGCTCTTTTCTCCTGAAATATAAATCCACTATTACACTTATTATTGAGATACAGAAATATTTAAAAAAAAAAAAAAAAGAACAAGATAGATCTGACGGAGCTAGACAAAAAGAATGTTCACCTGATTAGCAGCAATAAAATCAGGGTAGTACATGCTTTTCCTTGGTTTCATATGTACCATATATGGTTCCAATTGCTTTTGCAAATTAATATCCAAAACCTTTGCTCGTTTCATAGCATCAGCTACATTCATACCGGAAATATCCCAACCATCAACTTCAATGTCATCTGGATTTACCATTGGAAGCATCCAAGACATTGGGACATACACATCCTCCTTCATTCCTCTACCAAGCTTAACAGTAGATGCTTGAATCAAAGAACCATACCTAAAATTTTGAATAAAAACTATATAGAAAACTATTAACTTGAAAATGCAATGAACCAGCCAATACATTCTATTAAAATATCAAGGAGTACCAGTTTGCTTTTTGAAGGCCATTTTTTGTTTCCCACGAGAGTTTAAGTTTATTTGCTAATAATGCAGCACTAATAGTAGTACCATTATTTCCACCCCATCCAACCAACATTAATCCAAGCTTTGGAATTTTCAACTGTGTTCTAATCAATAAGTTTGTTGACACTGGCTTTACCTATCAAATGTAAATGCACATTTACAGTCTCTAATATATTATCCTTAGACATTTAAAATAAATAATATTACGCATAGTAATTGTTAATATTTGTATCCAAGGTTTTTTCTGATAGTACACAGTGGTGTACAATACAGGAACCTTTTTTTTTGTCAAAAATTGAATATTTCATTTCCAAAATTAAAATCATAGCGTTTGTTCAGCTGTTCTTTTTTTATTATTATATTTGTTCCTTTCTCCCTAAAAAAGAATTTTTAAATACAACATCTGCAAATTTAATATTCATATTTTTTTTCTAAAAAAACCTTCCAACCTTAAACTCATTGGTCAAATTAAATATCAGCATCTTTTCCTAACAAAAAAAATTGTGTATTAATAACTATCTTTTTTTATATATAATATTAATAACTAATATTTCTTTGTACGATGTGTCGTGTTTATATACATATATAATATATACACACACCACATGCCCTGACCCTGCAGTAAAATTCGAGTAAAAAGTTCGTACATGGAGGGATATTGTTGAAGAGGGTAGTAATAAAATTATTTTCGAATCGATTATCTACTGTTATTCTTCCGAGACGACACGCAGTCGAATCATATATACATATGTGTGTATGTATACATATAGTTACGAGTTTGCTTATGTTAATGCGTGAATCAATTACAACTTGCAGCAAAACATTACTAATTCATAATTATCACTAATACCGAGTATGTTCATTCTTATTACTACTATTATCAGACTTATTTAATATGAAAATGATTTAATTATATATATCGTATCATTTTTTACAATAGCAATAGTACATGTGAATATTTTATTTACAGATACGTTATAAAAATTAATGTTTGAACACATATTTCGATTCTATTTTGTTTATGAACACTTGCCGTAAACCAATAACATGGCGCAGATTTGGCGCTAAACATAAAGAATACACAAGGATGTACTTTTTTTTCATACTTTTGTGTAAAAAGGTATTTAATAAAATTACGGCGTGGAATAAGCTCAAAACAAAAGGAATATAAACGAGAAACAAAAAAGAGAATGTTACGCTTACCGTATACTTGTAATCATCATCTTCAGTAACGTTTGTCGTTTCGTATTCGTATTGTGCTTCTATATAATCTTCTGTATATTTCACCTTCGGCGATTCAACGCGAATCTTCAATGCCATTTTGTTTACTATCGAAAACTTCCGCACTGAGTAACAATAATGACAAAAGTATTAACAAAAATTTGCCTCACAAGAGAAAGAGAATAAATGTGCAGCCCTTCTAAAGATACCCGGGGGTTCAAGGATTAGTGGATTATTGGAACTAGAGACGGTAGTGAGACGATACTTTCGGCTTAACCCGGAGAAATGAACTAGCGAGGAATTCGCGTAATAAATTGTTATGGAGCGCCGTTCTAATCAGTGATATGTTTCTTTTCAGTTGTGACAAATAAAAGGAAAAAATTCCGTAATCAAAGCGTACGCAAATGACACTCGAAGGTGAATATCCAAAACGTCGTGTTCGCAGCTGAAACGTAAATGTCGTGAGTCGCGCAAGCATGCGCTTTAAAAGAAACGGCGCGCAGCCCCCTTCTTCCCCTGTTTAACTGGAACCTATTATATTTGGTTACTACTCGTTTTTATCAATGCACCTAACATAAACTATAAACATGTGCTTCGTTTTGTATCTTGTCGCTTCCTTTTTGACTTTTTCTCTCGTGCTACCTTAACCAGTCACATCCTGTTTCCGCCTTATCTTCTTTCAATGCGTACGAATCTTTCGACCGGTCTAAAACGTTTGAGCACGTTTGCGTGTTTTCATCGAATTTCTTCCTTTTTTCTTTTCTATCGAATATTTCCTTTTTTATCTGATCTTTTTCTGTGTAGATGAAAGAAAGAAAGAGGTTTCAAAAGCAACAGGTAAGGTCAAAGAACGTTCTGGAAATATACAATCAATTGAATATTTTTTACACTTATTAAATAGATATTAACCGTTTGGTGAATTTTCTTGCATGATATTTAATGATTTTGTAACGTAATGTTTATAAATAAAAATATATATGTATATTTACATAACAAAGACTTATTGTCAACAGCACATAATGTAAGAAAATTATACCTAGCTTTTAATTTCCATTTCTATACTTTGGTTTACATAACGACATTATGATCAAGGGTACGAAGTTTTGTATGTGTTTTATTTATGACCATGTTTAATCGAGTTTTGTTTTCCTCAACTACATTATTGATTGCAAGTGCAAAAAATTCGGCAAAATAAATCAAATTGTATATTTTTGACTAATGTATTCATTAATACGTTTTGTAGTCGTAAAAGTTATTTTAAGCACCATCGTTATTTGGTACATTCATTATATTCAATATTAATTATTAAATTTCCATTGAAGAATATGAATTTAAATCGATTTCAGGATTGGCAACTTTCATACTCGTCACAGTTTTAATTGTAAATAGAATACTTAAAACCTTATATTTCCTATACTTTAATCGTTACACTATTATAAATACTTTTGTTGTAAATATCTCATTTAAATACGGGCACATTGTTCAAAATTTGCAATGAGTATGTTTATGAGTGCAAAATTTGAGCATGTGTAGTTTAAATTATGATAGTAGCCGGTCCGTGAACTGTTCAATTACATCACGTGTAGCTGGAATGCATAGATTGTTTCAATCAATTGGCACTTGGTGACTCTGGAACTTTCGTAATGGGAGAATTATATGTTGCCAGGCCATTCGTAAGCCGACCCCCCCGACAAATGATTACGAACTATAATCTGTATACAAAGGCTGATTTTATCCACCTCGTCGTTGCATACGAGCCGTTTCGTTTTCATTCCAATAAACAAACATCATTACTAAGAGTATGCATACTTCAAAATCTACACTAAACGATATTGACGAGTAACCTCAATCCGCACACATAGTTTCTTTCGATTTATTAGTATGGTATGTCGAGGAAGTATTCTGGATCGATATTCGGAACGTAACACCGGTATCGACCCGTTGATTTATATGGCAAAATCAAACTGTATGGAATAAAAAATAAAAATAAACAAAATCGCCATGGGAATGGAAATGTGAATATATCGGTATAATGTTATATCGATCGTGACAATACTAGTATACCAATATATATTTTCCGGTATTTTTACTTCCTCACAATTTTCGGAGTTCGAGTTTGGTATTATATGTATTTCGGTTGCAGTATGACTTAACCAAAATAATACTTCTTGATTTTAAATGTCAGACTATTGATTGATACAAAAATTAAATAATGGTATTGTTATTTAATTGTTTAATTATCGTTGGAATTGTTTATAACATTGACTGCTAAATGAAATTTGAAGCAATGGTAAATGGAGTTCCGTTTACAACTTATGCCCACCACTCGTAAAGGGTGATTGTTGAACTCTGTCTGACTCTGTCCAATATGTACTTACATTAGAGTAGTAGTAATCAGTAGTGGTTTTTAGTCTTGTATAATAATGTAGTTGAAGATAGAAAAGCAGGTTATATGATCGTGTCCATTTCTTTAGATAAAGTCCACGATTACAATTTACAATAAACGGTTATTCACAATGGACACCCCTATTTATATAGTCATAGCTATTATTTATATCCGAATGTTTTAACAATGTTGATAATAGTACTTATTAGAATAATGTTTTATCAATTCTGTTATCAATTGTAAATTATATTATAGTAATTTTGATAAAAATGATAGTCATGTTGGTATTTCCTCATCTTATTTAACATAATTCCCTATTATTGCTTTATTTTCGAATGTATAATTTAATATTTCTATCATAAAAATGGATCGGTCTTTCGAATTGTAATGTATAAATCAAACGTAAAGGAATTTTACATAAAATAATTAACGATTCTGTATCCCATTTGTTTAATTTTAATTAATCAGAAACGAACAAATGTTGAAGAATTTGCTCTAAACGTAAATGAAAATATGAATTTATGATAAATTGGAAATATAAAATATTTTCGACGTACATACATACACATAATCCGAGATTTTCTCTCTGATATAATTTATAAAAATATATAATAGATATATTTATATAATTTATGTATTCATTTCTTAGTATTTTAGCTAGATAGAGTTTGTAGTATTTAAAAATTGTGCACGCCGGTGGTAGGAATCACCAGATACAATCGGATACAATACACCTGAATAAACCTGTATACCCATGTACACCTATCATTGCGCGTTTGAATAGGAAATAAAATGTCAAAATATTCAGAAACAATTCAAGAGATACTAAGAAGTGGAAGTAGTAAAAAAATTGTAGACAAGAAAGTATGTACTATAATCTCATTAATCCTTTGCAATATGTCACATATATTGCATATTTATGTATTAATATTTGCATTACTTTATTTTTCGTATCATTGAATATTATGTTTCAATAGATTAACTTACTGTTAAATAATACAAATTTACAATTAATATTTGTTGAATAATGTTATTGGATAATATGGTAATAATTCGTGTTATTCATTGAAACATTCATCCTTAACATGTATTATAATTTCTCATTTCAGAAGTGTGCGTTCGAATTGTTAAGCTTATATGAAAATCAGGAAGCTATCAATGAGATATGTAGAAATACAGAACAAAATGTACAAGGTACTGTAAACTGGTCATATATAATACATACAGTGCATAAGCTCTTATTGGATGTAAGTATAACATTTATTTAAGGAATTCTTCAACTTAAATGCATTAACTTTAGTTTTGTAATACTCAATGGTATTATCATTTTCATTAAAGGAAACAGATAGACTTGCTTCTAAGGATTCAAATAAAAAAGCAACAGTTACCGAAAGACAAAATACGTGTACACTTGTAAAAAAAACAGTTCAATATGCAAATTGTTATAAAGAACCACTTTTGAAGTGCTCGGATATAATTCCATTAATTTTACAAATATTGAGAAGTAGTAAATACGAACATTACCATGAAACTTATATGCATATATTGGTATCTTATATACTTCCATATAGAACATATCAGATAAAGATGCTATCCGAACAGTGGCAAAAATTATTGGAGATATGTATACAGGTGTACAAAAATGTATCTTTACTTGCAAATAAGCGTACAGTTTTAGAAGCATTACAAATGATTGCAAATTACGGTTGTCTTCATTCAGATCTTCTGCCCAATCTAAAAGGAACATTGACATTCTTGGGTATGGTAAACTATCAAAAAAAACTCAAATGCATCAATTCCTCTCAATGATAATGGATTTTTTATACTTTCTTTTTTAGCAACTTATAATTTTATCTTTCATTACATGGTATGATTCGTGTTTCATTTGATTTTAGAAACTGTATTTTCTGATGTGAAAGCAAATCAGGAAATTTTAGCAGAATCTGCTTATAAACTTACAAACACAGTGTGTCAACAAATTGCGACTGAGTGCAGATATAATCTTTGCCAATTTAGTGAAACTATTTTACTAAAAATAATTAGTCTGAAAAGTTCAGTGGAAAAGTATAAATTGTTATTGCTTTTTATTAAAATTCATCATCCCAAAGGAGTATGCGATGTTGATCACGGGGCTTACGCTAATGATTGGGAAAAATGGCATATAATACTAAAAAGTATGTATTTAATGATTTTGAAAGATTGTAAGCCAGATATACTACCGAAAAGTTTTATTCATCTTGCAAGTGAAGGTAATTTTTATTGTTTTCCCAAGATAACTTTTGTATTCTGTATTGACTGTTACATATCAAACACGGAAATTCTTTTAGTTTTTAAGCAAGTATTGGAAAACTCGAACCTTACAGTTGAAAAAATATCACTGGATGAGTCTGATTATTTACAATCGGCGAAACGAAGACGAATCGCTACTAAAATGGATAGATTAATTGATATGATTAGCGACAGTAATACGGATGAATGTTGGCCCATAATACAGATACTAACAGTGTTATTCAAACGATATTCTGAATGTTTGAAATCGCAAGACCTCCCAGCATTCTTAAAAATTTTAGTAGATCTCCTAACGCAGTCTTGTAAAACAGAAATTATCACGGATAATTTATACGAATTAGCTGTTGTTCTGTTAGCAAATGAAAATGTATTTTCAGTCACAGATATAGAAAATGCAAACATATATTGGGATAAAATATGGGATATTTTATTGAGGTGAAATGTTTATAATGTATATTATTTAAGACTTTATTAATAATAGTTTTTTTTTATTAATATCTTTTAATTTTAGGTCTTTGAGTGTAAATCAAAATGAGATATCAGCTCATAAGCTTACGCAGCTCTTTGTAATAAACAACAAAATAACAAATCCAAATGCACTTTTGAAACTTTATCTTACAAATGTTATCAAATGGTCTATTATGAGCCTGCGCACATTAATAGTACTTTGCGAATATCTATCCTTGCCTACTGATATAGCAATGTTCAATATAAATACATGCTCGCCAACAATGAATTCAAATTCTGTAAGATTGTGCCTCTTAAAATGGGCACTGAATATATCCTGGCATAAAGTGGCTATGCAAATAATAATTGACGAGTTATGTTTATTATTGATTAGTATTATGTCGAAACCAAGACACGAGAAGCAGATAAAATTTAATGAACGCAATATTAACAATTCGTGTAATTGTTTAAACAACATGGAATATATCGAACCATCTTACGAGGATATTGAAAATTGTCACTTGCTATTGACTTACAAACGAAATTTGTTCATTGAGAATGAAGAAGATGATATTTCGTATAACGCTAAAGTAAATGAATACACATTGTGTATGGAAGATATTGTGACTTCCTTAATGCACAGTTTATGTGACATACTAAATGAAAGTAGCGGAAGCGATGATTTACACGTAACAATAATAAAGATTGCAATTGTAGCGAAAGTAATATCAACGATGGGACAGTTGAACATGATAAATATTAACGAAGAGTTTCTTCGACATACTATGGGAAAGCATTTAGATGCTGTGTATACTTTATTGGCAAATATAGATTCATCGAGAGGTAAATATATTTACCTTTGCAATGTGACGAAAGCTCTTAATGTGTTGTACGAAACACCGTATGATACAAATGTATCAAAGATAATCATCTCGTCTTCCACGCCAAATATGTTAAAAAACATATTCAGTTTAATGAATATTGAAGATAACGAAATTGCTGATTATGAGACAACTAAGAATTACTTTGAAGACTACGGTTCTTTCCAAAGTAGACGTAGAAGTTCAGATAAAAGTATGCTACGCAAAAAGCAATGTTACTTCTGTAACAAGGGTACAATCAGAATACAAACGTCAAGGGCTTTGGCATTGTTTTGCTGCATGAATGTGGGAGAAGAAAAATGTGACATACAAATAAAACTTATGAATAGTTTGCTGAAAATAGATATGTACGATCTGTCACGCACAGTTGATATTAAAATGGCTGTCACAGTTTTGGAGTCTCTATCGAAATACGGCATGCAAGATTTATGGAAAAATCACGAAGGAATACCATTAAAGAATGTATTGGCATTATATCAGGGATGCTGTGAAGATGAGACTGCTATTCGTTATGTATTAAATATTTTGCCATATTTTTTTAAATATGCCGTGGACTATGACTACGGTCTGGATGATTTAATGGACATTATTTTTCAACTGAACGAGTGCAAAAGGAAATACGGTTTTCGTGTTCACATAGAATTTACTAAGTGCCTTTTAAAAATCATTCATGTCAGACCCTCTCTCTTTAATTATGCAGTACCTGATACATGTGATCAAAAAATTCCAATAATTGACAGTATTTTAACATCTCTTTCTAATTCTTTGTTTATTGTACGATTACAAGCAATTAAATGTATACAAGAAATATACCTTTTGAAAAACATTGATTTAAAATGGAAAGAAACATTGTTTAGACGAATAGAAGAGTCAATGAACAAATTAATTATTGGTAATAATAAAATGGATGATACGAGAAATGTTGACGAAAGGGAAATTAAAATAGCAAGTACTTTATTAGTATTGGCAGCGATAATATCTACCAACGGAACATTTCAATGTCGTGCTTTACTGACAATGTTTCATCTTACTGTAGACCAAAAAATCGAAGTTCAAACTATACCAAAAGCATTAAATACTATAGCAAACCGAATAAGTTACTCGAGTCTCATTGAAGATAATTTAAGTTATCTAGTAACATATTGGTATAATTCGGAATATTCTGCACGATCGTTTCCTTGGAAGTTAGTACACTGTAAATCAGAAGAACAATTTTATAAAACATACATTAATATGCTTGCATTTATTAAATTTCAAAGTTTAGAACTTTCTAATGTGATATCCCTTTGCACTTATGTTAACTTATCATTGCAACAGATCATTGAAAATATTTTTCCACAAATTTTGCCATGGTTATTATATTCTATTAACGAACGCGATAGTACTACAAGAAAATTGGCCGGTAAAATGTTTCACAAGTTAATATCAAATCAAGATGAATTTGTTGCAGTTAAAAAATTTTCGAGTTTATTTAATGATAAATTTGAAGAAACATTAATATATCTCATTGAAAGATTACACGACGAATGCTATCTCGATAAAATGTTGGGTGTACAAATTTCATTCGCAATGTCAGATCCTCCTCATTTCAACAGTGAAACAATTAATGCATGCTTGAAATACATGGAAGAAAACTTTTTCGCGCAAGGAACGTCTGTGCAATATATTCTAGCACATAATTGTCCAAATATATTACAGAGAATGTTACTACATTTAATTAGCAATGTTTATAAGAAACGGTTTGTGGAACATAAAGTAAAAGCCTTTCACCAATACATGTTCTTTTGTGCACTGATTCTTAAAAAATTAAAGGAAGAGTATTTTAATGCACTGTCTATGTACATAGTAAAGGATATTGGCTACAGTTTACTTCACATAATTAAAGAAAATGATAATATTCTTCTTGAAATAGCGTGTAAATATTTTTATATATTTGTACAGCACGTATTGCCTATAAGACCCGAAGAAATCAAAGAGATTCTCAGTTTTACTGTGATGGTTTTAATTCCTATTGCACAATTGGGAAAGACACCGATAACTTTGAAAATACTTCATTATTTACTAATCGAACAAAAAGAAATATTACACAATGCAATAGAAAAGTTGAATTCGTTTCCAAATGTACCTATTTTTCAAGAAATTCGAAATGTGCATAATGCTTTAAAGTATACAGCTGAAAAGAAGTACAGTTTAGAAGAGGAAATACAACATTTTTTAAATTCTTTAGTCGACAAGAATATCAATTACAGCATAGAAGATATTTCACATCTACGACAACAATTATCGACGAGAAAAGAAGAATTACAAGCATTGTACAACAAACTTGAAACATTGCGTGGTTTTGCAGAAGATTGTGCCTCGAGCATGTTGCATCAATTAATATATAAACTTATAAAACTAACAACATCTTCTGATGCAAATATTTCAATCGAAGCATCAAAATGTTTAGGGGAAATTGGTCCGAATGATTTAACGTCGATGATATTATATTTGGAAAAAAGCCATGTTACTGAAAGTTCTGACTTGGTAGAAATATTGACATATAAATTAATAATAAAAATGATAGAATTGTTATTTCAAAGTGATATCGAACTCCGAAAAGTTAGTGCTGATGTACTTTACGCTACATTGTCATCTTCTTGGGGACAAAAACTGTTAAATACAAAGTACATAGAACATTTAAAATCTCTTCTAGGTGAATCACAGGTAATGCTACCTCTAAATTATGTTCGACCATTTATAATTAATAAAAATGTAAAGGCAAAGAAAATTAGCGTAAATACTGTAAAAATGAATAATATCTTGAATCCACAAAATAGAATTTGGACAGTTGAAACTAATGGTTCATATGTCAATTGGATCACCGAAATAACATGTAAAATTGTAGAATGTTTTACAGGATTTTATTCTGAAAATTTAATTTCCGTTTGTGCATTAAGCACTGATTTCTGCGAAGTAATTTTGCCAAGAATTATTTTTCTAATCATTCATATCGATAAAAAACTCACATCTGCCATATGTTCTTGTATAAATCAATATTTTGACTATCATTTTAACTTCACAATAGAAACAAATGGGTCTCCGCATGTAACACGTAAAACAGCAAATTGTGACCATCAAATTGTACATTGTATGTTAAATATTGTGAATTACATTAGAATACAAGTCGCTGATGATATTCGTTTAAATTTAAATTACATGTATATCGCAAAAGCTGCACAATATTGTGCAGCTTTCTTTACTGCGATATTGTACGCAGAAATGTCTTGTGAAAATATTTTAAACGATCATAATAATTTTACTAATGTTTCCAAAATTGATGATGTCTACGAATTGGCACCTGAACAAGGGAAAATGATACAGAGTATACTTAGAGACACATACTCAAAAATAGGTGACTTCGATGCCATTCGTGGTACAGGATCTTCACATTTGCAAGATCATTCAACTCGTATACAACATTATGTTCACACTTACGAATGGAATAAAGCAATACTTGCCCAAGACGTTGAACTTTCCTTTGGAAACATGACAGTAATCAAAGGTAAAAATAAAGAGATTAATACAGACAATATTACTGTGATAAGATTATAATGTAATTGAAACTTACAATTTAAATTGAATAGTATTTAGAATTAACGGTAAACTAGACTACATTATGTGATTTATGCAATATGTGTAATGTGCTTAAGTTTCTTAAGATAGATTATATTTTCCTTGATAATAATTATTTTGAATTACAAATTACAGAAATGGCTAATGGATTGCATCATTCTGGTCTTCAATATTTAATGGACAATTTTATATTTGCCATGTCTAAAAATAATGAAAAAATACATGAAGATATTCAATATGAATGTTCTTGGCGGCTTAGCAATTGGAATTTTTGTGAAATAAATCAGGCGTTGTATGTGCAAAATGATTGTAAATTGAAGTCACAAATAACTGAGTCTGATTATCATTTTTATCATTATCAAGCATTAAAATATTTTCACGAAGGTAATGAAGCAGGTATACGAAATGCGATTGAAAGTGCTCGTATGAGTGTCATCAAAGCACTTAAAAATATTAGTCTAGGTAAGTACCAATAAAGTGTTTAATATAATATATATCTATTGTCTATCTAACACTATATCGTTTGTAGAAAGCAGTAAAACTATATATGAAAAACTAATGCAGTTACAGTTAATTCGTGAGATTGAAGAATTCAGTTTGGTAAAGTCAGATGAGTATGAAAATGTATTAAAAAAATGGCAGCAGCAAGATATATCTAACTTCAATGAATTGGAATACATCGAACCTGTATTAACTCAAAGAACGATTATGTATCAAATAAATGATGCTTTAGCTGGAAGCGTACAGATGAAGAATGTACTTTTTAATACGTATTTAGATCTTTCAAAAATAGCAGTGGACAAGGAAAATTTAAATATTGCCACACGTTCGCTAGGTATGTAAAACATAACAGTACTATAGAATATCTTACAAATTCTTATTACATCATTTTAACTAACTACGTTGTATTATATATAAATATGTCCTCCATATGTTTTTCTTGTTCTTGTGAAGCTGTCTTAGCAAAACAAACAGACATACCCCCGAAAATTCAAGATCAATTACTTTATCAAGAATCTCTATTGGCACGTCTTCGAAATGATTTGGAAATTGGACGATTTCTTTTACGTAATTTGATACACAAAGAGAGCCTAGATATAAATTTACGAGCTCAAGTGTTGAGAGTTTACGGTGACTGGATGGCTGAAACAAAATCTGAGAATCCTCAAGTATACGACTTAAAAATAAATTTTGGCGGATTAATTATTAAGATGCAAGTTTGAACATTTTAACATCTACTTGTATCTTTCAGGCTGTGATAAAAAAGTATTACTTAAAATCTATAGATACAAGTAGTTCTATCGATGAACAAACTACTGAGAGCGTTAAAAATTTACACGACACACAGGTAGCTCTAGCTCGATTCGCTGACGCACAATTTTCGCAAATATGTTCATACATGAAATCTCCTCAATTTGAAAGCCTGAAAGAATGTGTTGCATACTCTAGCGAGAAAATCAATATGAATGCAGTTACTAAGGATAAAGATGTTAGAAGAGCATTAATTTTGAATCAGAGACAAACTATAAATGATGTTGAAGAACTGGAGCACATAGAAAAGGAAAAGGATAATTATTTAATTTTAGCCTTGAAGTAAGCTTTTAATTCATATTCAAAGTAGTGTATAATGTTATACATTTGTTCGTTATATAGAAAAATATAATTTTCTGATACATCATCAAATACATCAATTTTTTTGCAGATACTACTTACTAGTGTTACAACAAAGCGAAGACCATAATTTATTAATATTTAGAATAGTAGCTCTCTGGTTAGATAATAGAAACAAGAAAGATGTGAATGATTTGTTGGATTCGAATATCAATAAAATACCGTCTTATAAATTTATTCCGCTTATTCCTCAATTAGCGGCGCATATTAGCGATGTCTTTGATACATTTTCGCAAAAAGTATATGAAATTATGGAACGTTGTGCGCTGGATCATCCATATCACACATTACCCGCGTTATTAGCGTTGAAAAATTTATACGGCGATTATGAATACGCTGGGACTAAGACAAATAAAACGTCCGAACCGAGGGTACTCGGAGCTAAAAAATTGTTGCATGATTTAACAAAGTCGAATGTAAACTCGGTTATGCATGAAATGGATAAGTTATCGCACTCCTTAGTTATGCTGGCCAATCTCACAACTCCTTCGAGTAAATGTAAGACTACTTTTCATATAGTAAAAATGGAATAATGCAGTAGTACGTTAACAAAAATCTCGTATCAAATTTAATAGATGTAGATATATTTTCAAACAATTTTTTATTTTCAGCTGGTTCAGTACTCAATATTCCGAAAAATCAAGAAATCTTGAAAGTTAAAAATTTCAGAAATGTACTTGTGCCAACATTGATGATTAATGTGAAACCATCCAAAAATTATGATGATATCATTGGTATATCTAAATATATGGAAACGTACGAGACTGTCGGAGGTTTGAATACTCCGAAAAAGATAGTTTGTATTGGTACTGATGGAATATCAAGATATCAGTTAGTAAAGGTACTTTGCTCATATGTTCTAATATACATAGATATTACTTACTTATTGTGTAGTATTCTATTTAGTATACTAAATTTGTAATCATTTCTACATTTTTTTAAAGGGAAAGGACGACTTGCGACAAGATGCTGTAATGCAACAAGTTTTTAATGTAATGAATATATTGTTAAAAGCTTACAAAGAAACTAGAAGAAGAAAACTGATGATTAGAACGTATAAGGTACTTTCAGTTTAAAAAATCATGTATTCTTCAAATGAACAAATATCAAAAAAATCTATTCGTATTATATCGTTTAATATCTTTTGTATTAATATTTTAGGTTGTACCTTTGACACAGAGATCGGGGATTTTAGAATGGTGTGATAATACAGTTCCTATTGTAGTTATATTAATAGGTTCAAATAATGATTCTGGGCTTCACAAAAAGTATTACCCGAAGGATCATACGGCACGAGTATGCAAGGAAAAATTAGCAGTAAGATTTTATTTAAATTAGATTATGTTTGCAATTAGACAAATACTTTTGATAGTATTTATCACAAACTTTAATTTTTCTTTGTTACTATTATTAATAATCAGAGCGTACATATTTCATGGTATGTAATAACTCATGTGCAGTGTCAAGTATATAAAGCCTAGTAGAAAAATATGAAAATTGTTTTTAGTCGACTAGAGCTTCACAAATCAAACATTTCTATTTTCAAACTTGTTAAGTATAATCAAACGCATTGAAAGTTCTTTAGAACGTAAACTGAAATGACTCTATGTACCAAGTATATTCAGGTAACATAAACTCTTTAAAACTTAATTTTTCTTTACTATGAATTTTCATGTTTAGGCAGTTGAAAAGTCATCGAGCAATGCAAAATTAAAAGTGTACATGGATTGCTGTGCACATATGCATCCAGTGTTGCATCATTTCTTTGTTGAGAAATATCCATCTCCTGAAACGTGGTTTGAAAGAAGATCAGCATATACACGCAGGTAGGTATATTATTACATAAAAACAATCTTCATTGTCATATAAGGCGTTATTTTGCTGTATACGACGTTTGTTTTGGTTTACAGTGTCGCAACAACATCCATGGCAGGATATATTTTAGGTTTAGGTGATCGCCACTTAAATAATATTTTACTCGATCAAACAACTGCTGAAGTGATTCATATCGATTTTGGTAAAGATAATTACTTCCAAATACACGTCAACATAACAATTCTAAATTATCACGTTGGTAACTTGATTGTAACACTGTTAAATGTAATTAGGTATAGCATTTGAACAGGGGAAAGTATTACCAATTCCTGAAACTATTCCATTTCGGCTGACACAAAACATTGAGGCAGCAATGGGTGTATCTGGCATAGAAGGTACAATGAGACAATGCAGTGAAAAAACTTTGACTGTACTGCGTGATCAGAGACAAGTAATTATAACACTACTTCAAGTTCTATTGTACGACCCATTGTTTACGTGGACTATAACACCAGCTAAAGCATACAATATACAAAGTGGAAGTTCCTCTAGATCAGTCGAAGTTAATCAAGGTAGTCTACATAATTGTTTTTATTATCACATAATTTTCATTCATTAGTTTTCGTAGATTATTCAATTTATTTAATAACAAAAATATTCATTTCTTTCGTCTGCAATGAATTTTCTTTTTAAAAAGAAAGAACGTAAATATATGTATAACTGTCATACCAAAGAAATACATCTTATCGATAGGTTCTGTCGGAACTAATAAAACAGCAGAAAGAGCCCTGTTAAGAATAGAACAAAAACTACAAGGTACTGAAGAAGGTTTACCGTCAAGCGTTTCCGGTCAAGTTGAAAGACTTATACAGCAAGCCCGTGATCCAGTTAATCTCTGCCGTCTGTTCTGTGGATGGCAACCGTACTTATAATACTTTAAATTTAAGGTATTTATTAGGCAGTTACATATGAAATGTCGACATTTTTACTGGCATATTCCATATTTTATTCAACTTCAAGGAAGTAATGTTATTAATTAAAGGTATGATTATTTACATTTCACAGTGAAATATGCATTATGTTCATACAATTAGTATTATTAAAAACCTAAGTTTCTGAAAGTCAATTTTACAATTTGAAACCAACTTTTAAAAAGCAGTATCAATCTTAGTCTTATAATTCAACGCTATTTTTTATTAAATGAAAAAAATTTTATGTCAGACTTCAGTCTTCAAGTCTGGCTTAAAATTATCAAGTACAAAAACCCAAAGACATTTTAGCCAAATAACACCTTAATCTATGATTTTTTATACTGTATTTTAAATAGTTTTAAGTAATTTTACTTTTAAGATAAACAGTGCCCCGTGAAAAGTACAGACCTAGCTTTAATTTATCATGCAAATCGTGGGTACTGTTAATCATTTTCACGCATAAAAATGTAACCACATATACCGATCAATAAAAAAGACATTTCACATGCAACGATTTAATATTATATGTTGAAATACCTCAAAGGGGTCACCGGTGACTTCTACGGCATTTAACGTGTTAAGAGTTAAAGGCCATGAGATAAATATAACATAAAAACAGAAACGAAAATTAAACATGAAACAATGCCTTTGGGATGTGATAGTTTATTTTTCTAATAACTTACATAAAATCCTTTCGTATGTATAAGCTATTAACTAAAAAAGTATGTCGATGACAACACGTTCTTGATATCAAAGGAGCCTTTTGCTGGGACATTTATAAAAATTTGATGTACTTTTTCTGGACTCATGTCTGCTTTAATTTTTACTGTGCTGTAATCACATAATATTTTAATTTTTATGTAATTGTTACGTGTACTATCTTAAGAGATTTATAATATTTTTTAATAAAATATTTGTACTCTTCCTGAACAACGTATGCAATTATTCGAAAGAACTGCTTAACTCGCAAACATTATCCAACTATTTATATCGTTGCGGAAGTGACAAAATTAAACAAATTTCTATTATGTTTCTTTTATTAAAAAGAAAATTTTCATAAATGGTTTTATAAATGTTACTTACTTCAAAATTGGTAAATAACGCTGTATAAAAAACTCCGATAAATTCTCAAGAATAGGTTCAGTATGAAGGGCAACAAATTGTTCTCTACATATCTATAAAAGTATCAATTGTATGTTAGAAAATATACGACAAAGTATGTATGTATATCAGTTTACGGTTCCTTGTTCCACGTGTTCCACATTACTTACCTTATTCATTGTATCTACGCTGGAAGCATGAGTCCAGAAGCAATCATGTACAGAGACATACGTGACACCCGCACTTTGACAATGTAAACTAGTGAGCATCATATGAGCAGAATCCAGGGAGTGTATAAAATTTGGTGCAAACGCATTCTTTTGTTTCATTGTGTCAGCTGTTCTGAAAATATGAATTCCAATGTATGCTTAAAAATTGATTCCTAAATAATTTCAATTAACTTTGTGTAAGATAAATTGAACAATGGATAATCAGTTCTCTAAAATAATTTTGGAAAGCAACAATTCTTACTTACGCAGTGCCCTTTTTAGTAGTTTTATCCTGCTTTATGTAAGGTTGTACAACCGGAAAACCTAGGGGTGTATTCCATTCTACAATTTCACCACGAATCAAGGAAATAACAGTAGCACACGATCTAAACCACTCTTGAATCTCTCTTGCACTTGTGAACATTGATCTCAAAGTGGAGAATGTGTTTTCAGTTAAATATGTACCGCTAGGCCAAAGGAATTCTGCAGGCAACTGTTCTATATCTGTGCAGGATACAAACAATAATAACAATGTGAATAATAAAGACCGTAAAGATTACTTGTTCGCGCAGCTGAAATTAAATATCTACCTTTCAATTGCTTTACTATTTGCTGTTTTGCGCCGTACTTTGTCACACCATATACTGTCGTCATCACTGTTTGTTTTATAACTTTTCGCTTTATATATCCGTCCAATACTTGAGCAATTTTTACATTATTTTTAGCATCAGCTTTTCGATTTTTTTCCACCTACATCATCACACAACAATTAAACATTTCACTTGCAGAAAATCTACACAAACATTTCTAATAAATTAAACGTACTAAAAGTGTAACAGTAGTGTATATATCCTTTGGAACATCGAACGGATACAAATTGACACTCTCCGCACCAATCTGATCTCTGCCAAGTGCTGCATAATGCTGAAGTCCGTTACAACTACCATCTTGATGTACTGGAAACCTGCTTTCATATTTTTCTATGTCTGGTGCTTTCAACGCATCTGCTATTTCCATACAACACGCTAATGTTTGCCACGGTTCCTCTGATTCTTTCCACCACATTTTACCCTTTGCAACAGAAATACCATTTTCATTCAAAGTTATTGAAAAGTGTTCTAAACTCTTATTAATTTGATAAATTTACAAACGTCTATTCGATACAAAACTCTATTATTTACTAATACTTTTTTTTTAATGTGTACCATATACACCAGATATTCCCGGCCTAACTTATTTGCTCGTATGTGATAGTTTCGTTGGTGAAATTTTCACGTAATCGTACATGTAAATTGTATATGTACTCCCATCTATTTCCTAATCTGGTTAGGTCGAGAATTTATGGCACTACCTATTTTATCGTGTAATTACAACTTACCGTCAAAGGATTGTTAGCACTGTCTAGTATATTGTCTAGATTTTCGTTTGCATATTCAAGACGTTCCTTGAGGGAACACGATTTTTTTAAACTTGTTAAATTAATAACATGCAATTTCAACCAGTCTAATCCTTTTGGACCTAATGGTTTTCCCTTCGCAAACAAAAGTATGGAGCGACCCACGTCAGACGATAGATGATTCAAGTGAGGTGGAAGAGGATAGACTCGTCCTCGAAAATCTATATTATGTGGCAGCCAGAATATTTTGTTCCTAAACTTTAGAATAATAAAAAAAAAGAAAAGGTCACTTAAAGGAAGAACACGGAAAATTAAATAATGTATCATAAAAGACATACGTGATTGGCAATTGTTAGCTTATACAGTGTATCGCACCATATAGAATAAATTTCGTATTTTCTTTGTTGATGTTTTGATACTGCAGTCGCTCTCTCTTGTTTCTCTTCAAACGAAGCATCCGACGGTAAATCAGGTGGAAACGATAACGTAGAAATTGATTGAGGTATATTTAATTCCTTAGAACCACCTTCTCGAAATATCTACGAAAACAGCATATGTTATTCATAACTAATATAATTTTCATTTGTTGTTAATAGTTGTTCGATAATTGTTAAAACAGCAAGTACTTTGATGATGATGTCGAGTATACGAGAATTAATTGTCCATGGAATAGAACTAAGTTGATTTAAAGAATCGAACACTAGATGCAATTGTTGTAATGGTGTACTTTGAAGTTTCTGCATTGGAGTATCCTAGAAAAAAAGACAATATTACGATCTCGGGTATCTTATCCAATTCACAAATTCATTTTTGTATAAGTTAAAATTCAGAAAACATATCAGTTCAAAAAATTCGTATTGAAATATATGTTAAATTAAACTTAATATTAAAAGTAGATTTATTGTAAGATGAAAACCCACTGTGTTAATTGGAGATCTTACGAAATCGGTTTCCGTTGCAATATATCCTCCTCTGAGTACTGAAATCCACGGAAATGGTGGGACATAGCTAGGCACAAAAATCGATTTAAATGATAATATTTCTAGCTGTGATTCTTTGTATATTTTTGACACAATAGGGTGAGGCTTAATCTATAATCAATAAATTAAATTGTATCACATGAAATACACATATTTAACCAAATATTCGTGTAAAAAATTTATCAGTATACAAACCTGTTCCGCTAAATATGTTTTCTTATTTCTAAATAGTGTATAAAATGCAGGAATAGAACTTTTTATTTCTTGTCCTTTCAAGAGATCGGGTGTAACCAGCAGATCGTTTAAGATAATATTGTATAAAAACTTGCCGACACTTATGAGCACACTCAAAGGCCACTTAGAACATGTCAAGTTTATAGATGTACCAATATTTTCTTCTTGCCGTTGAATATATTCCCATACGGTACGATTGTTCATATTGTCGAATTGTTCTATATTTTCAGGATGTAAGTACCATTCTAGGTACTTCTGATAAATGCTGACTACCTTATCCAATACTCCGTTTTGTTTTTTCGTCTCAAGCTGGAAATTGTAATAATAAACTTTGTCACATTAAAAATGTAACAAAAGTTGTGTATGTAACATTGAAATTTAACGTTGAATTATTGAATATGTAAATGTATCTACATACATCGTATTTGGTATAAATATATATTCCCAGCTCAATATGTAACGAGTTAATATCTGTACTAAAAGCATCTGAACCTCTTGCTATTTTCTGAACTTCTCGTATTATAGCATTTACATACTGTTTTGAATCCAACACTTCCAAAAATGGATGTAATACCATTAAACTATTATTGTACGAAAAACATTCATTTGCCTTTAAACATTTTAGATTTCTTTTAAAAGCAGCTGCAGCAACTGTTTTCCAATAATTTTCAAAGTGCTTCATTTTTGCCCTCTAATTAAACAAAGTAGAAAAGAATGGTTAATAGTTACAAACAACAATGTAATTATAATTCATGAAATTATGAAATAAATTTCAATTAATATTCAACTGGGCATAATAGTATCTTACGTAGGCAGAAACGACCTTCTTGTTTTTAGGTGGACTATTTATACTTTCTATTAACACCTCAATATCTTCTTCATTTTGAAGCTGCATTTTCATGTAATCTTTTAATTCTTCCAACTTTATTATCCCTTTCGCTGGACTTTGATAATTATCCATCATGGGATATTTGTTTATTAACTCGCACTTATACTTTGTATCTAGTTTTGTATATGTTGGCTCAAAATTTGGTAACAACAGTCTAATTGTCTTTAATACATTTTCTCGTTGATCATGCTTGAAATGTGCTTCATTAAAGATACTATTAAAAGATATATTATTACTTGTCATTTCACTCCACAGTTTTTTTAATAGATCTGCATGTAAAAAACCTTTTTATTAATTTTTCTCTTATTTAGGTAATATTACTTCCAATCTTATGTTTTTACCTGTCTGATTGTGCTGTTGTTGGTTCTTTCCTAAAGCATCAAATAGATATACGTATGTTTGTTCTGATGGTGCTAATGAATCATTTTTTATCATTTCATATAATTCTAATACTTTTGTGACATCATTTCTAGAAGCATACGCTTCTAAGACTATATTATACAGTCCGATCATTTTTTGCGATTTATTTGATTTATTTTGCACATGTTTTCGATATCTCAGTAGTGTCTTGTATGCTTTATTCACCATACCACAACTTAAATATACTTCCATGTGTACTAACAAGTTTTTAATGTAGTGTTCTGTAAGATACTTGTTATAATAGAAAGAATTGTTTTGTTCTGTCTGAAACTTTGCATTCCTACAATAACAGTAATATATGATATATAAAATATTATGAATTAAAAAATACGTCAGTCGGTAATTTATTAAGAACCAATAAAACTATCTAATCAACAATCATACAAATAAAATGTAAAATAAATTTGAATGATTGAAAATTTATACTTTCAGAACGTTACGAAATAGTAACATAGTTACGTATTATTATAATAGTGACTAACGTTTTATAGATCAGCACTATTTATACTATCTACTTTTATATTTCATTTGAAACATTAACATGTTCTTCATATACTTACTCTAATAATTTAAACAATGAATCATCTGCTGCTTCATCCGCGTCTATAGCTTTCTCGTTATTCAAGAATTCATTGAAACTATTTATTTCTTGACTAGCTGTGGCCTCTACAATACTCTCCTGTTGTAATTATATTTATATTACATTTGTATATGTATCCGCGCATACAGGGTGAGTCTGGTAACACGACGACTTTAAATAACTCGTAAATTATTTTTTGTACCAAAGAAAAAGATCTTTCAAACAAAAGTTGCATGGTTTCCAAAAGGGCATACAGTGTTGTAATCGATTTATTGTTACTTTCCTCTTTTTATCCAGATACGTGGGTCACCTTCAATTTTGCATTTATAATTGAATGTCTAATATTTTTTACAGATCCGGGTAAAGTAGCAAATTCTACGTAAAAATACCAATTAGTTTTCAATTCTCAAAATAAGTATTATTTCAAGCGGTGTTCGAAGTGTTGACAGTTACAATTAATGCAATAGTCTGATCAGATTATGAGCGTGAACGATAAACTTTCTCAAACATTTCTGCAGTAGTAATACGTTCTCATACATTGTCGACCGTCGTTGGTGATTCATGATAAACTTCATTTTTAGTAGTCATAATGTATCGTGTCAATAAAGTCTTGAAGAAGACGATCCAATGATCTGGTGACTAATTATGCCGCACCAAATATTCTGATTCCATCAGTGTTGGTGATGGATTTCACAAAGCCAATGAAGATTCTCTGTTGCCCGGTAGTGCATTTTCTTAGATTTACTTCTCCATGATTCGTGAATATAATTTTGTCAGTCCATAGATTGGTCTGTACAAATGCACCGTTTGTATATTGTATCTGACACAGGAATCACTCACAAAATTGTACGTGTTGCTCAAAGTCTTGGCCATGTAGCTCCTGATGCACGCATAGGTGATAGGATGAAACTTCCGAGAATTAAGAATACGCACAACACTATTCTGACTAATGCTCGCACCACCTGAAATTTGGTGTATGCCGTTGTGTAGATTATGGGCAATAGCTGCTATGGTAGAAGTACAACATTCTTTATCACTTACAAGGTTACGATATTTACGTTTTCGCACGATAAAGCAGCCACTTTCTTTGATCGTTGTATTGATCCTTAAAAAGCTCGAATGCGATGGCTGATTTCACTTAGGATACTCAGTTTCATATAATATTTTAACCCTCGTAGCATTGTCATCGCACACAATCATAAAAGATTATCATATCGTACTTTTCACTGTTACTGAACACTGTAATAAAAGTATGTAAACCTTTCTCAATAATACTTTTACTTTTACTGAGCTTAACAGGCATCTCATGTTTATGATGTCTAATATTGTACAACAAGGATTGTGTTTACAAACATGATCTATCGTCATAAACAATTGTGTTAACAATCATATGTACTGATCGTGTTTTCTAATACAAGATGTTTCATGTGAGAATATCTCAGTAATTATTCATTCTAAACTCTATTTGGTTTACTTTGTTACGCAGAACTTAATGCTTTATCCGAATTCGAGAAATAGTTATTTATTTATTTATTCATTAACCAGTACACTTACAGTTACGTAATGCCTGGCTATATTAGGCATTAAATTTAAAAAACTGAAGGCTACCTTTATATCTCGATAAAAAAGCAAAATATCAATAAATCGATTACAGCGCTCAAGTGCTGTATGTCCTCCTAGAAACCATGCAATTTTTCTTTGAAACATTTTTTGTACAGCAAATAAATAACAAGTTATTTAAACTCATTGTATTACGAGATGCATCTTGTATAATAGTACATACAAAAGTTAAATTTTCGAACTTACTATATTCAGATCATTTTCATTCTTAGATGAAATACAATCATTTTTCCTTGAATTTCTTAAAGGGATTTCATTTATACTAGAGTCTGTACTTTGATGCGATTTATCCATAGTATCCTGTCCAACCATCATTGATATGTCAGAAGCATGTATTTTCTGTACTGTAGCCCTTTTGTTGCTTGTTGTTTGATTTGTTACTACAATAAAAATATTTTATACTAAAATTCTGTTACGTTAACGTAATCTCATTTAGTTATAAAAAAGTAATTGACTCAAAATTATACCTTCTACCAACTCTGCATATAATTTTCTTTTCTTAACTTTTTTTTTCTTTGCAGAATGATCCAATACATTTGCTGTTGTAGTACTGGTCCGAATTTGGTGATGCATCACTATAAATTACATTTATATCAACAGCAATTAAAATGTTGTTTTATTAAAAAATAACTCCATTAAGGTTTGAGTAGTTTAAAAGGATACTTTGCAATAAATTGTATTTAACTTGTACTGTTTAAAGAAATATATGTTAGAAAAAGTATCCTTATGAAAAAATTTATTAATAGTAATAATAATGAACAGTTATTTATAGTAATCTGTATGTATTCATTTTTGCTTAAATTTATTAACTATATTAAATGAAAACTGTTTATAATTTTCAAATTTTCAAAGGTGATATTTATTATAGTGAGCCACAGAAATATTCATACCATCCCAAATGTCAATTTCAAGCAATTGACACGTTTTTAAAACATAAGTTTTAAAATCTTTATCAATGGGAATATATGTTGTATTAATTAAGTTTTCAATTGATATAAACTTTATTGGAAAATAACAATTCAGTATAACGAAAACAGGAATGTAAGTAAGACTCACTGTATATGTACAGCATACATAAGGAGTACATTATTATGTAAAAGTTGTCTGTAATTGATACGTATATCTTCGAAAATTATAATTAATCATCATTGAAATGAAGAAGATATCAAAGAATAGATAACATTTAGTAGAAAAACGAACTGCATGTAATAAATAACGTACTGTTCTTTCGAGGTTAATAAATATTGTACATTCCAGAAAGATACAAATAATTTTGAAATTGCTAAAAACTGATTACGTATTTGATAAATGTTAATTAATAGATATTATTTAACGTACATTTTGATACTTTTCCGTGGTAGAAGTTGCAGAAAGAACATAACCGCATTGTACTCTGCATAATTGCTTCTTTAGGCATAAAAATAGCACCATTTAAGGAAATTCGTTTTGTAACTTTCGCTGCAAGGAGTTTATACATTTTTATATGATAAGCGAAATTAATTACAAAGTATTAACGATTCATTTCGTTAATTATTGTACATACAAAACACGTAACCTAACTCACACGGTAAAAAGCCGCATTCTATCTGTGCTCAACCAGGTATACGTAAGTACATGATTTGTAACATCTGGTCATATCATATAGGTGTAGTGCATGTCGTGCATATGTGTAAACCCCACGCTATTGTCTTTTCAATTAAACGATGAGGTAAATGTATACAATAATGGTGGCATGATTTGCAATAGAAACGAAGCTTATCGGTCTATTTTGTTTCTAATATAAATATTTCCTTATTATTACGAAAATTAAATCCTAACATTTCAAATAATCTATATAAATAATGTATGCAATACAACAAGCAATAGCTACTTTTCCTTATTTATATATACGTTGTTGTTTAGTTATTTAATAAACAATTGAAGAAGAATTAAAATTACAATTGATAAAATTTTGTGTACATAGTGTGAATAAACACGATTGTCGTTTAGAAACCGCCGGTGCCGCCCGACCTGGCTCGACCGCTCGATGCGTTCGATAAACTGATCTCGTCCAATTTCGACCAATCTCGACGAACTCGATACATAATGCGTATCTAAACATAACTGCATGTGCATCCACCGACTAGGTATAGAATAGACCTATCATCCAATGCTTTTTTCTGTCCCACGTTCATAGGGCTACGTAGCCCTGTTACCATTTTAGTGTCCATATCCGACGTTACCGATAAAGCATGAATTCTGGGTATTATTAGCACAAATGAAGTGTTATTCCATTCATATTATGTGTATCTATATGATTTGACGGGAATAAAAATATCCGATGCTTCAGTTTAACGTTAAGGGATAAATATGACAGTCATGAAACATGAAACGGAAAAGTATATATTTTTTCACTTAACTACAAGACAATTTATTCTAAATGCATCGTTAATGGACATTTTATT